GGAGTCTTGTGGCAGTTGACCGGGTCTGGATGTTACGCTTCCAAGCTGCACGATGTAGAGATTAGCGGCCGTTGCTATTCACCCCACTGTATGCGTACACTCAAAAAGGTGGATCTCGAGGGCTTGAACGAAAAGGCCGCGGACGACTGGCACGTCTTCTATAAACTGACAAAGGAAGACATGGAAACCCGCCCAAAGAAGGAGGTGGAACGCCAAAACATTCTGCACGAAATCGTCAACGGCGAGGAGCTTTACATCAGGCAGCTGGATATCTTCCGCACGCTATACAGAGACGATTTGCGAACCAGGCAGCCGCCCATTATCCATCCGGACAAGCGTGATAAGTTTTTGACGGCAATTTTTGGAAAGCTCGATACAGTTGTTCACATCAACAAGGACCATCTTTTGGCGCAGCTCAAGTACCGCCAACAGGAGCAAGGACCGTGGATTGTCGGATTCAGCGATCTCTTCCGAGAGTGGATTCGAAAAGCTAAAAATGACTATATTGAGTATGCTACTGGTTATCCTCGCGCCGCGTATATGATACGCAAGGAGGCCAACAGAAACCTCTTGTTCAAGAAGTTCTTGGAAGATAAACAGAAAGACAAAGCCTCCCTGAAGCAAGACTGGACTCATTTCCTCATCGCTCCGCTGCAACGTCTCCAGCGATATATCCTCCTCCTTGAGACAGTAGAGCGGAAGATGGTAGGGGAAAGCGAAGAGCTAACCAATCTCAAGCGAGCCATTGAGGAGATTCGTGTGGTCACCCTAGAGTGTGATGCCAAGGTTGCTGAGACTAACAAGAGAGTGGAAATGATGGACCTCGACCGGATGCTCATCCTACGGCCAGGCTTCCAGTCTGTGCTCAACCTTGACCACCTCGGCAGAACTCTTGAAATACAGGGCGATTTGCAAAGACTGAGCTCGAGCGGTATGAAATGGGTGGACACACATGCCCTGCTATTTGACCACTATTTGATTTTGTCAAAGGTGGTCATCTCTAGGGACGGTAGAGGAGAGAAGAAATACGATGTTTCTAGAGAGGTAAGCCTTTTGATATCTTGTCATTCTATATTCGAGCAACTAGCGCTAACCTTGGCAGCCAATTCCTATGCCTCTTTTGTTCCTGGAAAGTAACAATGACGAGCCCGTCATCAAACAGAAGGGTATTACGGCTCCTTTGGCCAGGACAGCAGCCGTTGGGCCTGCCGCGGTACCCATGAATCAGCTCAACAAAGTGCCAACGAACAATACTATCCGACCAGGCCTTGAACACACTGCGACCGGCTCGACCACCGGCTCATCGACGATGCTCACGCCAGTTGGATCCACCGAAGGCGAAGCCAACATCCTTTATCCCTTCAAGATCAAGCATTTGGGCCATGAAGTGTACACGCTCTATGCATCAAGTGCTCGAGACCGAGCAGACTGGTGCACCAAGATTGTCGAGGCCAAGACAAAGCATGCGAAGGCGCTGCACTCTCAGAACGCAGAACCGTTCAGGCTTCGTGTGCTTGCCGATGCTTCCTTTAACTATGACGTCGCCTCTCCTCACGCAAGATCTGCTGGTGTTCCTGTCAAGGGCACGCCGCTCGACAGAGCAATTCAGGAGTTGGAAGGCGTCCTTGGCTCTGGGCAAGGGGTGGCTCCCGTGTGTCGTGCCCAAGTGAACTGCGCCACGGCTTTCTCAGCGTTCGGCAAGGCCGTCATCGCCATCGGAACAGACTATGGCATTTATATCGCAGACCCTTCAAACCCCCGAGGATGGACTCGGGTAAGTAAATTGATTTACTCTTAGTCTAGAAAGGTTTCATTATTACTAACGAATTATAATATCTAGACGGTTCAAATCGCCAGAGTTACGCAAATCGCCGTTCTGGAAGAGTTCAACGTTTGCGTTGTAATTGCAGACAAGTCATTAATATCTTATCCTTTGGATGTGGTAGCCCCTGTCTCAGAATACGCTGCGCCTGTCAATGACAACCCCCGAAAGGCTCCTCAAAGACTGGCCAAGGACGTAACCTACTTTGCAACAGCAAGGATGAAGGATCGAACGCTGCTGTTCCACAAACGAAAAGAAGGCTTACACACCATGTTCAAGGTCCTTGAGCCCATCTTGCAGAAATCATCGGAAAAGAAGTCGCGTTTGTTTGGAAGGGGCAAGGGTGCCTCAGGAAGCGCGGAATCCTTCCGTGACTTTGACGAATTCTTTTTCCCGACAGAGTGTTTCTCTCTAAGTCTCTTTCAGACTTATATCGCCGTGTCTACATCCAAGGGTATTGAGATGTTGACGCTTGACAAGAAGCAGCCAATCTCCATTCCCGATCTCAAGGCCGCAGCAATTTCCAATATTGCCAACCGCATCCGAGAGCAGCATCCTCTGGGCATGTTCCGACTTAACGAGAATGAATTCATCCTCACGTATGAGGATTGTGCTGTGTACGTCGACAAACACGGCGAAGTGAGCCGAACCCTCATCATGGAGTATACGGGCAAGCAGAAGAAGGCCAAGGGTGCGACCATGTACGGACAGTATCTCATTTTGTACAACGAAGACTACGTCGAGGTCCGCAACGCTGACAACGGACGGCTACGGCAAATCATTGCGGGACGAGATGTGCGGCTGATTGACTTTGGCGTGAGGGGCCCAACGGGAGACAACGCGGCACAGGCTTCGCAGGTGTATAACCAAAACGGTGGCCTGTCGACGGCGGGCGACGTTTCCAAGGGAACTGTCAAGATTGCCATGTCTCATCCGGAGCTGTCGGGCAGACAGGTCATCTTGGAGATGCTTCTTAATGACGGCCATGCTGAGTAACAGAAGTAACGCAGAACTCTCTTGCTAACACTCGCACCGATCTATGAGAGGGGAGAGAAAAAGCTTTTACGGATGAGACATATTGATATCAATAGTGTCTTTGGAGCTCTGTTTCTATTTCCTGTTCGAACAGGTTGCATTTTTTTTATACTCATTCTGTTTCACCTTGCTATTGTTTCTCTTTGTATCTCGGGGCTGTGGATTTTGTAACCACCAGCTCCTTTCTTCTCATATATCCCCTCCTTTTGTTTCTCTTTTTATTACTTTCTTGGCACGGCGCTTGGGAGAAGATGGGTGCAACTGTGAAAGAAAGAAAGCTCATGAGGGAATAATGCCAAAAAAGCCTCTGAATGAATTTCATTATTTTATCACTTTTCCCTGATGACTTTTTTAAGAGATCTATCTAGGTAATTCATGTATACTAGATACTAGACGAACGTGCTTTATACCACTGACGTTCTTTTTTTGGAATATCAATGGCTTTTTTTTCTTTTTGGAGAAGATGATAAAAGTGTTTCTTACATAGGAGTCACCAGGTTCACAGTCATCTCGATGAATAGACAGGTAATTGTCGGATAGAAAAAATGACATTGCTCACAGTGCCCTACGTAAGCAATACCACCCCTTTTCTTGCTTCTGTCTCTTGCGGAATCCATAGTCCCCTCACTCGATACCGATGTTGCCAATCGGTTTTGACGTGCAATAAAAAAAATTAAGAAAATCCCCTCTTATAGGCAAGCAAGTACTGTACAAGCAAATCCCAACCCATACCAAATTTTGCGCAATTAAATGAGTCCCCCTCGCATCTGCTTCCCTCTTTGTTTTAGCCATGTCTCTTCAATCTGACATAGCCGCGTCTATCAAGATGGAGAGAATTTCATGATATGACGATAATATCAGGCCTCGTTTATAAATGTTGTGTTCAAGTTTCTTTCTTTTTCTTAAAGCACTTGGACCTTTTTAAGCCTTGACCTTGGCCTCAACGACGTCTTTGACGGTATCCTTCTTGTTCATCTCGTGCATGGTGATGCGGCTAATTTGAGTGATTCCGACGAGGGCGAGGAAGAAGTTGACAGCGGCGAGCCTAAGAGTGAAGAGTTTCCAAGTCAGTTTCTCTTTTTTTTTTTTTTCTTCTTTTTTAACTCGCATCTCCTTCTGATTTTTGATTATCCAACTTACAGCATGTTCTTGGGCTTGATGACGAAGCACCAGCGCGTCCAGATCAAACCGGTGCACATCAGAGAGAAGTTTTGCGCAAAGGACAGCTTCTCAGCAGGTCGAGCGAAGTCGGAAACACCCGCCAGGACAAGAGCCCACTGTTGGAAGAATTTGGAGTCAGCCAGTTATTCGCCCATGGACATAAGTATGCGCATCCAAGAAACATATGGCGTATATATATTTATGACGAGACGAGGGAAGTCAGGAAAGCCTCACCTTCATAACAGGTGCCCAAAAGTGCACCGTCTTGATGCCAACCTCGCTCTCCCACGCCTTCTTGAACCAGTTCGCAGACTGCTGCTGCTCCCCGGACGCCGTGCTCTGCCATCGCTTGCCCTGCTGGCGGAACTGCTGGCGGAAGAACTGCTGGTTCTGGCTGGTGAAGAAGGGGGAAGATCCGGCGGCGCGTTGGCGCAGGATGGGCCGGGCGGCGCGCAGGATGTTGCTCGTAGGGGCCATGGCTCTGTGAAATAATGTCCGTGATTAGCTTTCTTCCTGAAGCTCTTTTTCTTCCAGGTATATTTATATATCGCGATGGTGTTTTTGAAGCTGCTCTTGTCTTTTCGCGCAATTCAAAATCGACAGACGACAAAAGCCAAAAGGTTGAATCTATAGGAGAGCCAAAAGCGCGCAAACTCACTGGGAAATGACTGGACAGTGGAACAGTTCGATACTTGTTTACTGCAATGTCAAAGGAAGTTGGAGATTGGGAAGCTTCCGAATAATGCGCGGGCGGAACGGTTTCCCTTTAGCACCGGGATTCAGCCGACACCGGACTTTACTTTATGCACCCGAGCTTGCATAAGCGCATAGCTGCAGTTATGCACGTTGCATAAATTCCAAGGGCTCCACCCAAAACAACGACAAATGAGCTATCTCGATACCGACGCTGTTGAAAGGCGCAAGTTTCCAGACATCTCCCCCATTGAGCCTCCTCCTCCTCCTCCTCTCTCGCCTAATCAAAATGTCCGCCAAATTCGCCTTCGCAAAGTCCCTCAAGGAGGTTCGATTCCTCTTCTGCCAGACCTCCGAGAAGAGCGCAGCTGTTCGGTACGTTCGCAAAAGCCCTTTTAATATCGCCTGCTTTCAGCTCTTGCATTGTCAGCCCGTGGAGTCGCAGCAAAGGGTCCAAGATAAACACCTTTTCATACATCGCTATCGCTATTCTACATACCTTACTGGGTAGCTATGCGCAGCTATCGTTGACCAATTCCCCGTCTCATCGAGCTCCAGAACCCCATAAGCGAGCGCATTTCCAATCTTTCCCACGGCAGAGTGGAATTGGCACAAGCATATACATACACATACATATATACAATCAGCTCTCAAATAGAACTAACAGAGAGTCCTCCATCTAGATCTTTCCTCACAACCCAATACCCAGCCATCAAAAAGGCCAACCCCAACACTCCGATCCTCCTCCGCGAAGCCGCCGGCACTCTGCCCAAAGTCTACGCCAGATTCGGTATGTTTCTCGATGCTACCTTCAATTCAAGATCCAAGAGTGGAAAAAGGAGAGAAAGATGGAAGAGATATCGTCGATTATATGCTAACGGATATATCGATTCTAGAGTTTGGCAATGAAAAATCACAGTCTCTTGAGGGCCTAACAGACAAGCAGATCGAGGATACCGTCTCAGGGCTGGTCAACAAAGCATAAATTGGAAAGAAATAACTGTATATATGTTAAAAAAGGAATAAACGAGGAGATTGCGTCTGTCAAAGGCTTCTGGCCTGCATCCCTATAAAGAAGAAGACAAGATATCAACATTGCGTTATGATATACATAGACGCTATAGTGTACAAGTTCAAATGCATACATGAAATACTACACTACCTCAATACCTAGCTTGCGCCTATCTGCCTGCAATACAACGTTGTTCCAGCCATGCAAAGTCCTGATGACAGCGCATGATGCCAGGTAACTGGCCATCGATAGGAATAATCAATGATAAGAAGTCTCATCCTGATGTATCTAGATACTCAACATATCCCCTAATCTTCCATATCCTGACGGAAGCCGCCTAATCTAATCTGATTATTACACATTATAGCAATGCAGAATTAGTATAAGAATGCAATAACAGCTGGCCTAACACGCATTGTTTTGTTCCCACCCAAAAAAAAAAAAATCATTACTGGAGTGTAGCGGACCTTACACGCGATGCGGGCAGCGAAGGCCAATCTTCTTTATCAAGCGCAGCTTCCTTGCCAGGCGATGTATTCTTTGAAATTACTGGCTCCTTGCTCTCGCCTTCATTTCGATGTTTACCCTTGGACCAGCTGCGTTGAATTTCGGTAGGGCTATTCTCCTGTTGCCTTGATGAAATCTCGAAACCACCACTCGCTTTTGAGTTGTCAGTGCGTCGAACAAGCCTTTCTTTCGGCTGTTGAAATTTGGTAGGCGAGTCATGCGCAGCCATTGTTCTTTGCATAATCTTGAACTTGGACGGTGATTGGTTCTCTCTGGGTAAATCTTCTTCTCCCCTCATTCGAAGTGAGCCTGCTTTGTAAAGGTTTGGTGCCTTGACAATATCCACTGCTGCAACACTGGATTTTTGAGGAGATTCGAAAGCCATTGCCAGCGGGTTAAGTCGACTTTTCTTGGAAGACTCTGGTTCCGTTATATGCGTTACTGAGTCCGGTCTATTCAAATCATCGGTGCTCCTCATGGGCATCTGGCCACTTACAGCGTACTTAGGCTGTGGCGGTTCAAATCTGTTGGTCGAGGAAGCTTCGAATGTCTTCGAAGTGATTGCAGGATATTTGTTGTTCTTCCGCTTTTTGGGAACCTTCAATGAGCCGCCCGCGCTGCTTCTAAACTCGTGTCGACCTCGAGGTAGAGTATCGTATGAATACTGGCTTCTGGCATTTGCCGTGGCCTGTCCTACAGGACCCTTGAAAAGTTCTGTTGCGCGCTCATCGGGCCTTTCCACAAGCACAGGATGAGAGGCAGATTCGGACATTGCAGGAGCCGACGTAAGCGTGTGGTAGTCTGCTCGAAGCTCTTCCCTCGGTATAAAGGTTGTCTCCGAGACTGATGGCGATATACCTTGGCTGCTGTCTTCATTCTGCAAGACAGTCAATGGTGTCAAGGTTGGACGTTTCTTGGATTTCTTGGCTTTGTTCCACTTTTGTTTTGGCCTGATCTGGTTATTTGCCGTGTCGCTCGTTTTGTTCTCACCCGCGGGTACCTGCGAATTCGACGCAGTAGCATCGATCTCCTCTGATTCAGTTTGACGCGGGCCAGCTATCTTCACTTTTGAAGATTGCGTCTCTCCTTGAGTCTTCATGTCGGTAGGAACTTCGCTTTCTAGTGATACCATAGGCAGCTGAGCTGATCTAGGCCCAGAGTCCAGTGATTCGTCTTTGGTAAGATATTGAGTTTCATCTTTGGCCAACTCTTCGGCTTTTGCTGACTGCTCTGGCTTAACCTTGTCTGACCCTAGTGAATTAATCGACTTGGACTGATCCTGCTTCCTGATATGCGGTGTAGCAATATCTGCCTTCTCTGCTGTATTGTTCGATGGTTCATTTGGGGTTGGTAGACTCGGTTGCTGGCTAGACGCAACAGTTGTTCCTAGTTTTTTGGACTTTCGTGGATCCAGTGGCATAGGAATCCTATTCCAGGCCTGTTTTCGCTCTTTTATCTCCTTCTCAGTGTAGTTGGAGTTGTGAGCACTGCCGTTTGTGCTAGATTCAATGTGCTTCTCGGGAGATGTTATTGTGGCTATCGGCAGTCTCTCAATGTCTTTGATGGGATTTTGTGGCTCCTTCAGGTCACTTGACGTTGCAGTTTGAATATCATCTTCTTTGTGTACCCCCGCGGCATTCACAATTTCCCCAATCACACTCGAAATTTGCTGCTGACTGTCCTTCACTACAACTAGAGAAGGTGATTTGACTTTCCTGTTGTTGTTCTTGTACATAGGACTGCCCGTTCCTGTAGCTGAGGAACGATCCTTAGAGAAAGTTGCTTTGGGCGTATCACTTGAAGAACAGGTTGAATTGATAGGAGTATTTGGTAGTGCAATGTCGATTATCTTTGGCGAAGAAAGTTGGCTACTGTCGCGATCTGAAGTTGTAATGTCGCAGCTGATGCTCTTTTTAATGACGGTTTCTTCAGAGAACGACTCTGAACATGGAATGCTCTCCTTGTTAGGATTTTTCACCTTTGGATGGTTCATCGCTTGAAGAGGGAAAGAAGTTGGAACGGCAGCATGTTCTCTTAGTTCCTCAAAAGCGAAATGTTCGCGATTAACCACAGTCATTTCAGTCAGAGCCGGCAATTCGACAGACTTTTCATCCCCCTTGGGCTCAACAATTGGCGAGATAGTCTGCTTTTCCATGCGCTGACTCGAGGAACATGCTTGAGGCAATGTTGAAGTACTCGTAGGGCGGGAAATTTCACGCTGACCAGGTTCTGATGTGGAGGTATGGCTTGATGCCAACGAACAGCTAGGAGGCACCTGACCATGGACATGATCTTCACTTGGAGAGAAAGATTCGTCTCGTGATGGCTGCTGGTGTGTAACTGGCAGAGGTGGAAGCTTTCTCGGTTGATGTTGCGGATGGCGCGGCTTCATCCACTTTGATCGATGGACAGGTTGAATGGTTATTCTGACATCTTTCTCTGGAACCGTACTTCCACCAAAAGCAAGAGCTTGCGGGACCGAGGATTCACTCTCGAATCTACCAGGTGTTAGTGTGAACAAAACCGGTGTTGAATTGTAAAACATTACCTCACGATGAACGCATCTCTCCTCATTGATGCTGATGGGAAAGCCTCCTCCACCTTGCCAAACCTAGTGCTTAATACAAATTTGAGAAATGAGATTACTTCCATAGTCGAAGCAAAAGCCTCAGAGCTCACTCTCACCCAAACACTTCTGTTACGCTCGTTACACTGGTCACAGGTACAGTGGCAATACTCTATGCTTGAGCCAGCAGGATTGCGACACCAAGAGCTTTGCCGGGCCCGATCCTGTGGAGGTCCTCGTCGCCAAGATTTATTTGAATAGCTTTCTTGGAAGGCGGCATTGTGTTCGACTTGAGACTGCTGGCTGGAAGCATACCCGTGAGTCTTTTGGCTCTGAGATCCTCGACGGTGTCCTATTCTATTGGTGTTGTTGTTATTGTTAAAAGGACGGTTGTTGCTTGGGTATCCAGTGTGCGCTGAAGAAATTGGAGAGCCATATGAATGTTCCTGTCGCGGCTGCTGAGTTAGGTGAATACTTTCATCGGGACCATTTGCGGGGGTATTGTACGGCATGGTAGATGGTATCGCATGGGAGTGCATCCCTGAAGGGAACTGGTGAGATGGCATAACCTGAGGAGTTCCAGAAAACTCTCTGTATGGCATATTGTGAGGACCCGATCTATTTTGCGCGGAATGGAATTGGTGACTTTGATACGGGAACCCATGAGGCGCCGCATGATGCTGCATGCCTCCTTTCTCTGGCTGCATATAGAAAGCTGCAGGATCTACCAGTTGCTGAGTGGAGGGAGTGAAGCTCTGCTTGAAAGAGTCGCTAGATGAGTTATCACTATGCTTTCTTATCTCTAGAGATACCCTACGAGCTCTTTGGTTGGGCGGTAATTGCTTCGGAGCCGTAGAATTAACCAGAGATGCAACCGCATCGGGAGTGGGGCGTTGGTCAAATCGCGTGGTATCGTGCGTTGGGAAAGAGCCTTCAACTTCTGGCAGGAATCTGCCTCCGCGTTTCTGAGTTATTCCTGAGTACTAATCAGGTCGCTCAAAAGCCTGAGGCGGCTGCTGATGCTGATGCTGATGCTGCTGATGCTGGTTGGCTTGCATCGATGCCAATTGTATTCTCACATCATCTGACCGACTGATATGAGTAGCATGTTGCTCTGCTTGCCTTTTCTCCGCAATCTCTTTCTTAAGATTGCCCAGATTGACCTCTGAGCCCTCTTTCTTGATATAAAATGAAGAATCAGATAGCTCTTGCTCGGTTATTGACAAAGCTGCCGACTCAGAGCTTCGTCTAACATCAGCGCTGGTAGAATGTTCCATATCCACCGCTAGCTGTGACCTTCTGCAGCCAGGCTCTTGACTGTCACTAGAGATCATGGGAGACGACGTCTCTGGCATCGACGAAGTTCTGCGAGTGTCATTTTGGCCATGTATCTCGTCGTTTTTCTTCTGGTAAGCTTTGGTGACAGGCCCCTGTGACGGTTTTGGTACATTGCTACCGTTGACGATGACTACGCCAGATCTGGAGAATCTTGCTGGAGTCGAAACAGCATCTGGGGGGTTGTGCAAAGCTTGGACATTGTCGGCAGATTTTTGAACAGACTCTGGAGGCGAGAAGCAGTTTGGCGGAAGAAAATAGTGTTTCCCATTTTGTTCAAAGCAGGGAGCTGGATTGTCTGACATACGGTGAGGTTCAGATACAGGAGGCGCTGGCAGTCCACTACCGTCAAAAACTGGCTGTCCGGCTAGAGATGAATTAGTTCCCAGGGCCTCATGAGAGCGGGATGGTTGGATAACTCACTAAGCCAGTTCTCAACGCCGTTCGTACGGAATGCCGTTACCAGATCAGCAGGCTCTCCAGCTTTCTCTGCTTCCATATTAGAAAGAAGATAGGCACGCCGGCTTTTCAGTGCGCTCGCAATAAGTGGCACAACATCATCTTGCAGCGAGCCCAACGATTCATGGTCCTTATCATTAAGAATGCGATAGATGGAGCCTTGAGACTCTTTCCACTGCGTCAGTTTCTTGCGATTCTCCTTCAGCTTCAGCCACTCATCCGCCCAATGGCCAATATGAGCGGCTACTTCGCGCTTCACGTCAATCGAAATGAGCCTATTTTCATCCCAAATGGTATTGATGACATTCCAAAGGTTTAGGCAGCCGTTATGATAAAGGTCATAGGCATCGAAGTAAGTCCACAAATCATCCCAGCAGTAAGGCTGCTGCATATTCTTCAGCTGATCCCAATGGAGCTTGCGAAGTGAGTTGCAAATCGCTTGGATTTCGTCTTTGGACCACAAGTGAATTCGACGCTGGGCTTGAATGTGATCCAAGTTCCGGAATGGTCGATTTCCGTTCGAAGTTGAGATGATGGCTGCCGCTTTTGGAGGAATGTTGTTGTAGAATCCAACAGGAAGATTGTCCTCCAAATATGTCTGGGCCACTCCTTGCGAGTGCACGCCATGCATCATTTTGTAGGTGACAGGAAGCCCATATGGATAGTATTTAGCATATGCTTCGCGATCTCCATGGGGAAAATCTTCGGCGTAAACACGAGGGAAAGCAGCCGCAGGAAGAACCGGATGCGGTGCTGGTAGAGGGTTCATTCGCATAGCCTCAGTCATGATGGAGGTCTTGGCCATTGTCAGTAAGAGTAGTATCGAAACTCAACGAAGCTCCCAAAAAAAGTAAAGAAAACAAGGACAGGGGATGAAAGATGACAAAGTGAATCGTTGAAACGAACGGACGCAAGCCTCAAAAATCGCTGGCACGGAAAGAAAGCGCTGTTAGCACCAAAAACGAGATCCAAAAAGACGTGACGGGCGATGGAGAAGGTGAAGCAGAAAAAGAAAATAAACGGTCAGGAAAACGATGATAAATGGACGTACCTTATTGCGAGCTCTTCCTTCTGATGAGGAAGGTGCAACGAGCCTAGGTAGCTGGGAATTCGCTTAGTTTGAGATGAAGGCGAGTTTCTGCGGCGAAAAGATCGACAAGAAATTGTTCGCGGGTAGAAAGAGGCGTGATGCAAGCTTTGAATAGACTAGAGAACAGTAGGAATCTGTTTTTCGTATCCAACAACTTTGCTGTTGTGCAATGAAAAGCTTTGCAGATTACTGTGCGCTGCCGGGGAGAGAAGGAGAGAGAAGCGGGAAGAAGAGATGGAAGAGGAGGGTGGGTTTAAATAAGCTGGGTGAAATGAGCCATATTTTCATCCGAACTATTGAGAAAGAAAGTTATGATGAAGTGAATGAACACTGACAAACCTGCAGCGTGACTCTTACAACTGGTCGACAGCTGGCAGCGGTGGAGCTCTAAAAGATAAACCCTCTCAAGACGCTGATTGTAACGAGCTGTTTGTAGCAGACGGTAGATATGGCGCTGTTATGGAAGCCGTAAATCGTTGGTATCCTCTGGAGACAAACTTCGCGATCCGTTTGCCTTAGGGAGCTCTGATCGTAGAGAGTGAAGCTGTTTGATAGCATCAAGGCATACACATTTGAAGCGGAGACATCGACACATTAAAAAAAATCAATCCTATTTTTTTCTCACCACCGTCTATGATGCCCAAATAATTTTATTCCAAGGAGTGGGGTATATATGAAGATGCAGCTTATAAAGCTTGTTTTATACATGATGGCTTGCTTGCGATGCTTATTTCTGAGCGTTTAGTAGCTTCAAGATTTCGGACTCGTTGTCCCCTGCAATCGCCTTGCCGTTGCTCCAGTCAACCGTCTACCAAAGGATTAGTCACTGCGCTCCATGAGCTATTTCCCATCACAGTACTTACCAGCGGCCGCAGCAAATTCTCCTTATTCTCCTTGAACTTCCTCAGAGCATCCTTGTCGTCCCTTGCGCCCTTGACGACCTGAGAGGCGCCGTTCTGGCCAACATACTGCAAGATTGTCTCCACCTGATCGAGAGTTGGGGCGTCCTCGGTGATGTTCAGCTCAAATGGGTCGCGGCGAGCACTGGCATCGTTGACGGCATTCGTCTGGGCGCTTGTGGATGCCTGCTTGAGCAGATTGGACACTCGCACAGAGGCTGGAGAGCTCGCCTTGTGGAAGAGCGTGATTATGTCGAGGGTCTTGCGCTACACGGCGAGCCAGGTTAGTTGCAATTGACGCTATTGCCGGTGACCAGAGCTGCTGAGTTGACCTACAAATCCGAACATATTGAGCAGGAGAGTTGTGCAAGAAATATGCTGGTTCTTGGGCGATAAGCAGCGATTCGTAGTTCAATAGACGCAGAAGTGAAGAATGACGTTATTTGCGTTCAGAGAACTTGTCGCCGCAAATAAGCTACCTATAGCGTGACCCGTGCGGGTCTTGGCAGCACCTCTTGGCATGCAGCCACTAAGGCACCTGCTACAAGTACCTACCAATTGAGGTAAACACCAGGGGACGAATTAGACATTGGTCTCTAATCTCATCATCATGTATGTTCGTCTCTTTTATTTTCCATTTGTTGATGTCTCTAGCTATATAAACTCTATCAATGTGTTGATTCAGTACAAGGTCTATTATCTCTCATCCTTGTGCCAAAACGCCGCCAATATTCGCAACCATAGTAACCCAGTAAGCCAACCTTACATGATCCCATTCAGCTTTATACCAGATATATCGGTTTATCAGAGCTCTTTCAATGTCTTAAAGCATGATCTTCTGCCCATCTATTTCCGTCAAAGTAAAATCGTGTGAGATCTTAGGCCTGCTTTTTGAACTTCTTCTGGATCTCTTCTTCTGAAAATTTGCGTGTCAAGCTCTTCAAAAACTTGATTCGTCCCTCCATCGTGAGGTCTGTTTGGGCGGCTCCAAGCGGAACCATGCACTTGGCCAACGTTTCATAATCTTTTACCATCAGTCGGTAAGTGATCATCAAGAAGTCAATGTTGTGAAACAGAATTGCTCCTTCTTTGCCATAGGCTTTCCGCTGCTCCAAGAAAGAGATTGGGTGATCGCGCCAATGTCTGAGCGGGTTAAGATGGTGCGAGGTGTGATAACCATCATTGAAGCAGAATCGATTGCTCTACAAAAACATGTCAATTCCAGATTTCCAAAATGCCAGCTTAAATACGAAGAGGATCTACTCACTGCAACATCCACCAAGGTGATGCTTGATCGATAATCGGAGTCTGGCTCGTCGGGTTCGACAAAAGCATGCTGGCCCCAATTGCCCGCCATCAATCCCAGTCTCATCAATAAGAAAGGAATGATGTACACAAAAATGGTGGCTTGTTTGTTGACAAAAGTTGCCATGGAATAATAGAAGAAGTAGGTGCCGAACTCCCAGCCTGCTGCTCGCAGACCCAATCCCCAGCGGCGCTTTTGCATAAAGTACGTGGGGAGATCCAACCAGACGAGAAAAAAGAAGCGGCCCACGTAGTGAAGGAAATGAAAGATGTCGTCTCGTTGATAGCGGATGGTGGAGGAAAGGTCATCTGGACCGTTGCCTTCGACATGATGGTGCTTGACGTGGTGATAAAAGTATGAGTTCCACGTGTGTCCCATCAAGGGATCCGTAATGTACGGAAATAGCTTGTCAAACAAGGCGTACTTCTTGGACAGGATTCCACGCTGGTGGATATGCTGGTGCATCATGAGCGTGTAGGTGCCAACATAGTAGACCTGCATAACAGCATGGACGATGCCATGGATGAGGTTGAAGTTTCGGAATAAAAGGATCGCGCTTGGTACTGATGTGGTAAAATACAGCACCAGATGCACAATGAACACCACATCTGTGTCATATCGAGCTGTTTTCCGTGCCCAGCGAACGAATGGCTGCAGGACAAGATTGTTGACAGACTTGGGAAGGCGATTGGGGAGATCGTCAATGGACACAAATATGGTTGGTTCAAAGTGAGCATCGCCGGGGTCTCTCAGGGACTTGAGGAGGGCAATGTCCTTGATGGCCTCAATTGAGTCCTTTTCGTCCTGCGACTCAGCCTGGGACGCTGCTGAGACATGGTGCCAGTCATTGTCACCCTTGGTTTGCTCCGAGCGAGCCTCCCGTCTCTTAGTGATGTCGTTCTCCAAATTTTTCAGCACAACGTGATCTGCACGTGTGAGACCGCTGTCATAAAACAGTTCGCACTCCATGGTGAGATTACCGCGACCAGAGCATTTACAAAAAGCTCATGAAGCTTTTCAAAACGGCGCACCCAGTCTAGTATAAACTATAGCAGGAAAAATCCCCCCTAATTATGGCTCAACCGCTTTGTTCGGACATGCCTGCCAGCGCATCCACCAGCGAGATTGCATGGGTCTCCGCATTTTGCTCTCCTCCACGCCTTCGCCGTGTCAGTGAATTGGAGCTCTAAGACCTAGTCCAACCTACCCAAGCCACTTCACGTCGTTTGGCGTGAACTTACATCCAAATAGTTTCAATTATCTATGCTCTTTGCGGCGTCAGGTCACTTTCTGCGCCTGATTGCTTGGCCAGACGGCAATGGCTCTTGCTAAATCATCTCGCCAAAGATTTGCCCGGCTTGCTTCGCCCAGCTCTGGCGTCCCCACTGATTTTCTGCCGGGGCCAGCTCCAGAAGAAGGCGTCTTTGGCCTGATGCAAAACAAAGGGGACCATTATTCGGCAGAGTTGGTCAACTTGGTCCCCTAATAGTGGATCTTAGTTTGGGCAATGTTGCGGTGAATCTGGCCAAGAATGGAGTGCCGACGTTGTAAAAAGGCGACACGGAATATGGCATGGTTTAATGACTGGTGTTACGTACGCTGGACGGCTGGACGGCTACGCCCTTGTAACGCGGACATTGTTTTAAACCTGTACTCCGTAGATATCACTCAATTACAGCGTATCAGCTATATCTTCGCTTTATGCCTCCCAGGTATTAGCATTCGCTCTGGAGGCTCTGTTTTGCATCCCCTGTTGCGCTCTAAGCCAGATCGTGTGGTTGTGATGAGTCGCCCATCTCACGATCGTCCGAAACTCCCTGGCCTAACATAAAAAATTCTTGGCCCGCGCACTGCTTCGCGGCTGAGCTGCATCTGCCACTGCCCGTTCTAGGCATCGTTGCAGATTGAATCGCCTGATTCCAGAACCAATAGAAGACTTCTCAGCTCTCATTCGCTCAGTAGCGCATTTCAAAAGGGGGGGCAAGACAAAAGCCGTGGGTCACTAGCGCCGTAAGAGAATAATGCAACTAGAAATGCCATGTATGGTCTTAGATCTAGGACGTGATAGGCCTGTTATTAGCTTTTTCCAGTCTGAAATACAGAAGATGCAGAGAGAGAAAAGATCCAATAGCTGAAAGGCATGCATAGAAAGAGAATCTAGCGGTAGTGCAGCATACATGGCTTGCCTTGCACATACTAAAAACGCAGCATTTCTCTTGCTGCATCAAAAGCTTATGTTGTCTCTTTGCAAGTATACTCTTACACGCTTCAATACGATAACTCAAGGATAATGCGTGACACTATTGCGTTTACCTTGATTGCGTAGGCGAGAGTACTATGCTAAGTTTGTAGACCAATTGTAACAGGCAGGCAGAGGCGGCGGGTAGCAATGGAGAGATTTATTTTGACCACATCACCTTGATCTACTAGATGGCTGCTTAGTTCAGCAATCAGGTTGCCCAGATTGATACGTCCCGGGCCAACAGCATTAAAGGAAGAGATCATCTACCGTATTCTCGAGCGATGGATGTTCCCCATTGTACCCTGGGACTACATCCGCAAACGCCCAGTCTTTGGGACTCTCACGGACCACCATACACCTAGAGACGCAAGCTCGCTCTCGGCACTCTTAAATCTCAAGAATAATTTGCTTGATTCCTTTTGCTCATGCCCAGCTTGTATAAAAGCTGGTACAAGACGAAACAAGATATCGCATAGCATGCGTTTGACCAGGGCGACTTGGCATAAAATGGTGTGCTTGACGCCCTGTGGCAGCAGTGGAGGATTATATGCAATGTAAAAGTCTGCAAAACAACCTTGTTTACCTGTAATGCAGGAAGAATATCATGGAACGGAAAGCAAAGAGTAGAGGCTTTTCAGAAATAATTTCCACATCATCTCCGCCTCATCTATGTATTCAGCCGTAAGAATAGAAGATGGTGGCCATTTCCTAGTCTGCATGTAGCTCTATCCGCTTTGAGGGCCCTCTTTTTTATGCATTATACAGGGTCTTTGCTAGATCGTGAGATTGCAATCAGTCGCCTATCTCATAAATTAATGTATTAAGCTTATAATTAGTAGATAGAAGGAAAACCTGAGGCTAAGGAGGTTTGACAGAAATAGAAATAAAAGAATCGGGCGATGATGTAGCATACACAGCTCGCCTCGCACATATACTGTCTCTGTGCAGGGTAATACTCTAAAATGCAGGCATGGTGAAAGATAGTGTTGTTCAAGTGACAGGTAAAGTTGTGTCCCTGTATGAGAGACTTTACTGTATCATCTATCCAAGTCATTGTCTTTCAATAACTCCAAGTGATTGTCTTTCAATAACTTGGTAACCACGAAAGATATGGGTGGGTGCGTGCGTTTGCCACCACCAAGGCTCTCTGCACATCAATCTCACCTTGTTGAGATTCTCCCTGACACCAGTTTTACATCAACGCTTTCATCAATTGAGCTTTTTCAGATAGCCATTCCAGCGTCTTGTTATATCTATGACGTTAGATCCCACATAATAGCGTTTCTCATGTCAATCGCCGCGATTCTGCTGTCATGACGTATGATGAGATCAACATGTGGAGACCTGTAGCAATAAGGCTATCGACTTGTTCGAGATGGTGAGTATTTAAAGAATCAAACGTCGAAGCTTTTCAATTTAAAAATAAGAACATTTAACAAATTATTGATCAATTGAAACAACGTTTTTTCCCCCAATAAACAAACAATTAGCAATCATGTCAGGATACTCTAACGTTGGCACATCTGGCGTTTACGAGGCTGGTGACCAGCGGAACGTCAAGAAATCCGAGGTGCAGCAGGCTGAGCGATTCAACGAGGGACAGAAGGGATCACACAGCAACCTTGATTCAAGTACGAAATTTCAAATTTTGCTACCCCATGGCCGTCCATGCTGACTTCTTCTTTAGAGGACGAACGCTCCATCGCCAACAGGCTAGCAGCGGAAGAGGTACGCTGCTCAATCCTGCCATTTATACGTATACAGAATGACTGACGTGGCCGCAGCAAAAGTCAGATCCCGGCGATGACAGAGAAACGGCTGCCTTGAAAAAGGACCCAACACTTCCTGTAAGCACTCATCTGCAGCCTCAATCACAATAACTGACAATATGCAGGCCAAATTGCACGGCAATGAGCCATCACGAGGGGCCAAGGTCGACGCTGAAATCGCAGCCGAAGAGGAAGAGTACCTACAACGGAAAGGCAAGGCTTAAATGAGCTGAATTGGATTGTAGTTTAAATGATTCAGAGCTCAGTCGGAAATGAGGTATGAACAGGTACCTATGTTATAATTGGGCCGTGAATTGCGTATATTTGTTTACTCACAGGCAGTCAGCAACGCTGCTCAAAATATTCTTGTCGCTGGTGTAGGCATATGTCTATATCATCTACTGTACTCGTACAAAAAGCATTGTATTGATAGCAAAAAATTATCCGACATTCCATTTCTGTCAACCAGCACTGAGGCCAATCCTGCTGCTCCTGCTACTCGTGTACCTGTATAATAGTAATGAAACAATTTCGTATGAAACAATTTCGTGTATATATGACTGCCTTGTTGAGCTATAGCTGAATTATAGAATTAGGGTGCTTGATGGATATTCCCTCTCAAGATCACTAGAATGAGCACAATTGCATATGGATGAGACAAGTAAATGTTCGAATGAAGAATGTTTATTTGATTTGAATGCTAACATATCTATCACCTGTAACAGTCTCTGTTAGTGAAAAGTTCAAGCCAAGCAAAGAACAGTAAAAAAACAAAGACGCTAGTTCTCAGGATATGTAAGAAAAAGTTTCTCATTTAGACATTTGGTATAGCATCTCCGGCGAGAGAGCCACCGCATGTGATCAACCGCAAATTACCTCATCATCGTACTGGCGCAATGCACAAAAAGGAGAAAAAGAGACAGTTATTCTTACCTCACCTCAAAGATTCAGGAGTCGTAGGATTATATCGAATCCTTGCGAAGAATCTTTTGCTTTTCAGCGCGAATACCATCAAATATTCTGGACAAAGAGGCTCAAAAATTTTAGCTCGGGCGCGAAGAAGAAGAAGAAAAGGCGGCTGTCTTAGCGGGCATTTGGACTAGCGCGTCTTTGTCAGCTCGGCAAAATAGAAACTCCGGAAGAATTAAAGCTTGTGCGGGCAGAAAATTATTTGCCCTAGGGCTCAAAAGCCGTCGAAAGTCGAAAGCGTTCTCCAGTAAACGCTGCTGCCCCAGAACAATCCCCCGAGCGGCAGATTATCGTCGACATTTGGTATGATACACGCGTGTTCCTCCACTTCATTCTGATCCCGAATGAATTGCGACTTCTTCGAACCAACATTATCCGACTAACACGCCGTCGAAATAGATCCAGTCACAATGGGCGAAGCACTGATTGAGGGTTCAAACTGGCGCCTCGTCGAGGTCGGCCGCATCGTCCTGATTAACGGCGAGCACCCCTACAGCGGCCGCCTGGCTGCTATCGTCGAGATCATCGACCACAAGCGAGTACGTTGACGTATTCCCCGAAAAAATGCGACTTCTTCACGAAACAGAAAACTAACCCGATGACATCCAGGTTCTCGTTGAGGGCCCCTCTTCAGACCCCAAGCTCAAGGTTCCCCGACAGGCCCTGCACCTCACCAAGGCCCTCCTCTCTCAGTTCGTCATCGAGAACCTGCCCCGAGGCGCCCGACAGGCCGCTCTTACCAAGGCCTGGGAGAAGGCTGAGATCGACACCAAGTGGAAGGGCAGCAACTGGGCCAAGAAGCGCGAACAGCTTGAGCGGAGAAAGGCTCTGACCGACTTCGACCGCTTCAAGGTCCTCCGCCTCAAGAAGCAGCGACGATTCGAGGAGCGCAAGGCTCTGGCCAAGGTCAAGGCCTCCGCATAATTGGGATGTTACGCTCTGGAGTCACGGAGAGGTTGATCGGATGGAAATAGAATGAAGGGCATGGATCCGGACAGGAAACGCATATACAGCAGCAAAAGTTCTGCTGGATTCATTTTCGCTCCCTTTCTGGAAGGGCTGTATGTTGTCACATATCATCGTTTATGATGAACGGCGTCGATACGGAAATTCAGACAAAAATGAATTCAAAGTTATAGGGAGGATTCTCATTGTGGATCTTTGTGATTTCGTGTAGTAAAAAGAAATACCCATGAACTGCATGTAAAATATCACTACAAAATCTCACCCTTTGATATTTGACACTACATGCAATCTATAGCCGTACATTACGTATAAATTCCCAATCCTACTGCGCAGGCCAAAATTTGGCGGCGCAAAAGCCAAAACGCCTTGGTTCCCTAGTGCCTAATTGGGTTTAGCCGTCTCCCAAGCCCTACCTAGGTACCTAGGTAGAATTTGGCAGCTTCTCGTCTCTTAACACAAGTCTGTTGCGCAGTTTGTCACGTTGTAGATACAAACCAATTTAATCGTCAGGTTAATCGCATAAAATGTGAGTATCTCGGCTGTTGAAATTTTTTCTGCCTATTTTGCGAAACATCTAGGGCGACATCAGGCGACAACGAAGCTCGCTCGCTCGTTTCAAGCAATAATATTGTCGTGTGAAAGACGAAAATTCAGCTAATTTACCCCACCACAGACATCAAAATGGCCAACCCTCGAGTTGAAGAGCTCCCCGACGACGAGACCAAGACCAAGCCCACGGTCGAGGAACAGGATGAGTCCAGCGACGAATCCGAAGCTGAAGAGCTCGGCGAGGGTCTCCCCGCTGGCTCTACCGCCGTTGTCCACTCCCGCCAGGAGAAGAAGGCCCGCAAGGCTCTCGAGAAGCTCAACCTGATCCGAGTTCCTGGCATCACTCGTGTCACCCTCCGCCGCCCCAAGAACGTAGGTTTTCTATAGTTGAGAGAGGAAAAGCTGGGAATTCGCAGACGGGAGCTAAAACGGATATATACAGATCCTCTTCGTCATCAACAACCCCGACGTCTACAAGTCTCCCAACAGCAACACCTACATGTGAGCAAGGAAATTAACTCATGATGGGAAAATGGGACGTAAAATCTAACAATTTCGTCAGTGTCTTTGGTGAGGCTAAGATCGAGGACATCAACGCCACCGCCCAGCAGGCTGCTGCCGCCCAGCTCGCCGCTGCTAACGCCGAGGCTGAGCACGCCGGCCACAACCACGATCACGATCACGACCACGACCACGATCACGATCACGACCATGACCACGACCACGGCAAGGAGGGTGAGTCCTCTGAGGCCAAGAAGGAGGAGGAAGAGGAAGATGATGGTGAGGAGGTTGATGCCGAGGGCCTCGAGGACAAGGATATCGAGCTCGTCATGACCCAAGCCAACGTCAGCCGAAAGAAGGCCGTGAAAGCACTAAAGGAAAACGACAATGATATTGTCAATTCCATTATGGCGCTGAGTATCTGATGACGGGGAATATGGGCAGGGTGGTTGAAATTATATCATTAGTATGCGCGAATAAATGCGCATAGGGATCTGTATTATTGTTCACCAAAGAGCTTTACTCGTCCTCTAAGAAAGCAAGTTATTGCGTACTTTACATGGTTCTATTCTGCAATTGTGACGGGGGACTTGCCGGTGCTCACATAGTTGAGCATATGAAAGCCACATGATAGCCTCATTCTGCCATTGGAATTCCCAGCCTTGAATTAATGTGGAATCTACATAGATTGACATGCGCATACCCAAAGAATTGAGCTCTACATAAGCTCATTTATGTCGCAGCTCTGCAGACTAACCGCTGTACTATTGCACTGCTGCATGCATCCAACTGGTTAGGCGCGGCTAGATGAAAAGTCATGCGCAAAGTCACGTGCCACGATTTGCAACCGGAGCGGACTGGGCAAGTTTCGGCAAAGTCAATCAAACCTCCGTTCAAGATCTCGCTGTGATCTTTAAAAGAGACCTCACAACACATCTCAAAATGGCCACGGTAAGTTCTCCTCTCTAATTGTCGCAGAATAAACAAGATATCCAACATCGCACGGACAATGCAGCGACCGATGAAGAATTCCGACCACTACCTATGCGCAATATCTCTTGGGAAGATCCATGAGCTAATTTTCATTTTCTCGTCGAATAGCGAAGCGCAGCTCTCAAGCTCGACTGGGTCAAGGTCTCCTCGTCCCTAGGCCTCCGCGGCCAGACCGTCGCCTCCCTCCAGGCCTTCAAGAAGCGCAACGAGGATGCCCGCCGCAAGGTCCAGCAGCTGACCGAGCAGCCCACCACCGTCGACTTCGCCCAGTACCGCTCCGTCCTGAAGAACCAGGCCGTCATTGACGAGATCGAGAAGCGCTTCAAGGCCTTCCAGCCCACCACCTACGATGTCAGCCGCCAGATCAAGGCCATTGACGCCTTCGAGGTCGAGGCCGTCAAGAACGCCGAGGCCACCAAGCAGGCCGTGGACCTGGAGCTGAAGGATCTTGCCGCCACCCTCAAGAACATTGAAGAGGCCAGACCATTCGAGGAGCTTACCGTCGATGAGGTTGCCGCCGCTGAGAAGTCAATTGACGAGAAGACCGCCGAGCTGGTTTCCAAGGGCAGATGGATGGTGCCTGGTTACAAGGTATGTGGATTGACTCCGGGCTTTATCTTGATTTGCAGTGCTAACCCCCCCTATAGGAGAAGTTTGGCGACCTTGCCATGGTCTAAGAAACTTATTTTACCCTATTTCGACTTCTCTTTGTGTACTCTAGCATTGTAGATACAAGAACTTGGGGCAGGGGCGTCCAGTTTCTGCTAATTGTCCATTTCCTGCGTCCCCTTATGTACCTGTGCACAAGAAGAGGGGAAACAAGAAGATATAAAGACAACGTCGAGGCAACGATAGATATAAAACGGTGGAGGAACTTCGCATGAGTGTATGAGTGTGAGTGAGATAGGTTAATAATGAAATTTCTGACAGCCAAAGTGAAGGAATAATGTATTGGCCCAGCGACACTATCTTGCCTGCAAACTCGTTTAAACTACACCACGCCAGGGAAGCGCTCCCAGCGATATTTGTTTGTACTTCTTTCGAAACATGAACCTTCTAGAAATATGCGAAATCAAGCCATGATAATCTCTCAACTCCTCCCGTAAATAATGCTCATACACCGGAAGTAAAAAAAACTGTTCCTTCGCATGCTCGAACCTTATCGCAAGTCTTCGACACGTATATACCTCTTCTTTTTTTCTTCGCTCGCTTTTCATTGTTACTTTTTTCTATTCTCATCTATGCCTTTGCATACTTCTGGGTCCACTCCTTCGCCGTCGCGATGGCAGCAGCTTCGTCTTCTTTCCAGCTCTTGGCAACGTCGGGAGCGAGGGGATCATCGGGGTTGGGAGCACCGAGAAGGGCCTGGATGGAAAGCAGGATCGTCCGAATCTGCAGCGCAGGCGACCAGTTATCTGTGACGATGTATAAGCACTGGAGCATGTTTTCAACGCATTTCAACAACGCACTCTTAAGCACATCTAGACAAATGCGACCCAGCTTGTCCACGTTTGGGTGAAAGATCTTGGTGAGGAATCGAATCTTGGGAGGAGTCATGGGATAGTCGTCTGGGAGGAAGAGCTCCAGCTTGAAAATGCCGCCTATATATCCCGTCAATACCGTTGCTTCAACTTGCGACGTCTTTAGAAATCGCCCATGTTACCTTCGTAGGGTGAGGATGCGGGACCGTGGATCTCGACGTCAAAGTACCGCAGGTTGTCTTCGTGAGGCACAGCACTGATTCCGGGGACTCTACACAAAGAAAAAGACGTCAGCGACTCAGGTAGGACCAGGATGGCGAGAGGCAACCGGATGGAGGGGCGCACGGTTCGGCCATCAGGCGTTCTGTTTCCTTCACGATGCGCTTTGGGAGGGCCATCTTGGAGTAATTTATGATGTCGTGAGAAACAATACGGGTCGGTATGATGGGAGTGTGAAGGTAAAGAGAGTGGTGGTCCAGAGGCCTTGCGCCGACTACGCAGCTGATAATGTTGCAGTCGTTAGTTTAGGTAGAACGTGACGACCGAAGTGTTGCATGGAGGAAATATAAGGCGGGGCATGCGACACTGAAAGACTCCAGGCGGCCGAGGGGCTGTTTGCGATAAGAGTGCGGCAAACAGTAAGCCAGAACGAGGAAGAAAAAACTATAGACAGCCTTTGAATGAAATTTGTTGGTTTTCTTTCATTTGTAACTAATCATCGTAAATCGTCTTATTTTTCTCGGAACAAGCTCCTTGTTTTACTCTACGCTGTACTAGACTAGAAGATTTCTCCAACCTACGTTGATGATCAAGGGTGCGCAACGACTATATTGTGTGCTAGACAGTGCTGCAGTGCGCATGGCTTAGCGTTTCGGGCCACAGGTCCCCTATAGCGCTGTCTAGGTTTAGCCCAGGTACTGACGTAGGCTAAAATCCCTGCTCAGTGACTTGCAGTGTACTTGGCCGTCACTGGCCTCCCTACTAGGTACTAGGTAGTAGCTCTCACAGCTGGCGCGCATCCAGTCAAAGGTCAACCACCAATTGCACATCATCTGACGACGCTCAGCCAGAGTCACCGTATCGAACTCTTTGTAGCCAGACTGAAATATCACATCGCTCGTATGTCGTCGGATGGATAATGCGAGCTGCGCATAGCTGCCGGCAGCTACACGACTGTCACTTCAGCTTGGACAAGCACCGCCACCAAGGCTCGCAGATGAGCCGCGACATGCGAGACACAGCCAATCATCAGGAGACCACAGAGGACGATGCCTGCTTTTGACCAGCCCGTGGATTCGCCCAAGAAGGGCCGAATCGTAAAGTCGGCGTACGACAGCGAGAGCTTCGAGGCCGATGGCTCAATCCATGTTGAAGGCGTTGTCGGCTCTGCTACTATCTCACCTTCGGGACGGGATATTGCCCTGGCATCGTGAGTTGGCAACGCGTCGAAACGTTCTGTAATGACTACTAACAACTCTGTTTAGACCCGAAGGACTTGCAATTATTGACTTGGACTCGCCATACAGCCCGCCACGGCGTCTGCGAGGCTCTGGCCAGCCATGGCTGGTTGTTGATGTGCAGTGGTCTCCATTCACTGCCCGAGACTACTGGGTTGTTTCGACGGCGAATCACCGCGCATTGGTGTGGAATCTCAATCTCAGAGATGATTCAAACACTGGAGCAATTGAACACTCCCTCCAAGGCCATACCAGAGCCATCACAGACGTCAATTTCTCTGCTCACCACCCCGACCTCCTTGCAACCTGCTCTGTAGATGGCTATGTGCACTGGTGGGATCTCCGTCGGCCTCGCCAACCAGTGCTTACTTTTTGCGACTTTTTTGCCGGAGCTACTCAAGTCAAGTACAACCGCCGGGATCCTCACATCCTAGCTTCGTCGCATGATCGTTGGTTGCGGATTTGGGATGAGCGAAAGGTTTCTGAGCCCGTGAAGTCGATTGACGCACACACATCGAAGATTTACGGATTAGACTGGAATCGAAGCAACTCGACAGGCCTTGTTACGTGCTCATTAGACCAGAGCATCAAATTTTGGGATTATAGCAATGACGGCGATGAATTGGAACATGTTATTCACACCGAGTACCCGGTTTGGAGAGCCCGCCACACGCCCTTTGGCTATGGTCTCCTTGCGATGCCGCAGAATGAACCTGGCGACTTGTACATGTATGACCGATTGTGGTCAAAAGACGAGAGTAAGGATGCATCGCCGACACCGGTTGCTGTGTTTCCTGGCCATGGAGATCATCAAGCAAAGGAGTTCCTCTGGAGAACTCGAGGCGGGGTTACGGAAGATAACCTTGATGATCGAGATTTCCAACTTGTAACCTGGGGTACGGATAACGAGCTGAGGCTTCATTGCATTGATCCCAGTATATTTTCGGCAGTGGGATACAAAAAGGGGTCTCCAGCTTTGGGCGGAATCAGTACTACTCGGAAGGGGGCGACTTACAAAACATTCCGGACAGTTGATGACGCCTCTACAATCGATAAACGGGCGAGTACGATGAAGGATTCTAAAACTAGCACAGGCGGGCTTGTGCACAAGCAAAGCGCCCTTACAGCTGCTGCACGGTCTTCTCCGCATATTGGCCGTCAGATGAGGCCGGCATGGCGTGGGCCATCAATGAAAGCCAACAATCCAGTTGGTAAGAGACTGGATCCAAGCCAAGCTCAAATTGGTTGGATGAAAGGCATTAGCTTTACGAAGAGAAAGGGCCTGATGGATGCCCCCAGACGGCTAATGTCCAAGGATTCTGGCATCATGGGCCACGGCTATGGTGATGACCAATGGGGCGAACCTGATACGATCCAAGAAGAGCTCTTGCGGGTCAGCACACAGATTCCGAAAGTCAAATGGGATAATATCGATATGGATAACCTGACACTGAGTGCCTCGCTCAATGGTCCTTGGGGTAAAGACGGAGAAAACATATTCATCAAGGTGAAGATTGATATACCTACAGAGTATCCAAAGCTCAAGGCACCGAGATTTACCATCGAGAGAAGCTCTTTTATGCAGGAGGAAATGTACAAGCGACTTGACCGAGAGCTTCACGAGCTTGCAGATCAATTCCTGCGAAGGAAACAAAATTGCCTGGAAGTAATTTTCACCTATCTGCTGGGTGAAGTTGACCTCGAATCCAGCACCACCTTCTTTAAGAACGTTCGTGATTTAGATGATGATCTCGATGGGCTTGCCGACGATAGTTCCACGGACGAAGAAGAGGATAATCCAGTTGGCGGGTCGGTATCTATGTCTCAGGAATTGCCTCCTGCTGACGCAGACACTGCCATCGCCATTCCGGCTCGTACTATAGTTCCGCCGCCTCCTTTGACATGTGGCGCTCGATTCTCGCATGATGGACGACTCATTTGCTTCTTCCCTACAAAGGAAGAAAAAGCACGTGTTTTGTTCCAAACATCTGCAGATGTGAACAAGGACCGCCCAAGGTTGGACCAGCCGTTCTTTGCTGGCTTTGGTCGCTTAACACACGATCCGCCTCCGCGATACAAGTATACTACCGAGGAGGCATCAGCTACGGATGATCAATCAGATTCTGATGAGTCGGGCGAGTCATCTTCTTCATCAAGCGACTCCGAGTCTACATCGATAAATAAGATGAGTCTTTGGTATCACTCAAGCCGACATCTCAGAAAGGCCTGGAGTGAGGATCGATCCATCCGATCTAGTGGTGGTGGAACCGGGACTGGAATAGGTACCGGCACAGGTACTGGGACAAGCCGCCGAAAAATAGGTCGACCTCGAAATGCAGTCTCTATCCATGACCTGCGACCAGATCTGCCCTCCAAACGGGAATTTGCTCAGGAGTATGCCATCTTTGGCGACGGAGCAGATGTTTGCGAACACAACGCAAGAGTTGCAGAGAAGTACGGCTATCCTGATCTGATGAGTGTATGGCAGTACTTGGCCTTGCTGTTGAAGAAAGGGATACCGCTTGAGGTCCTGGCTAGCAACCAGAGACGAGCCTCTATCCTTGTCATTGCTCGAGACAGTGTATCCAAGACTCGCGCCATCGATGATGAGCAAAGCCTCACTCCAGCAGGAGACAATGCTTTGTTAGGTCGGGTGAAATGGGGTCGACATCCGCTGGCAAAGGACTTTATTCAAGAGCTTTTCAACTATTTTGAAAAGATTGCCGATATACAAATGTTGGCGATGCTTTCTTGCATCTTTAGCGATTCTTCGACTGATGATAGCGTTGCCTATGTGGAATCGCAGCTTCCATCTCAGGAAACACCGCTCCCTCTCAAGGCACCATCATTCTCACTAGACTACTTTCCTACAGATGCTACGATGTGGAATATCTATGGTCGGGGCATACCGCATTCGAATGTGACTACGCCCGGCACTCTTCACACACCTCTACCTTATGCGGGCTCACACGCGTCGGACGATGGAATGACATGGACAGGCGAACCCGGAACCAATTCATACTCGTGTGGCGAGACCCCACCGCCAAAAGCGAGACCTCTGACAGCCGATGCAGACCCTCCTCCAACGATGTTATCGCGGTCTCCCTCCACCTCTAACCGACCTCTTTCACGAGTTAGCACTGGGCTCAGTTCGGCGTTTTCAACCAACTTCTCGCGATCATTTACCGGGGCCAGCTCCTCGTCGCCGCCCGCGGGGCAATTAAGGAAGAAACCAAGCCCGGCAGAAATGATTCTGAACACACTGACACCACGTACCGGATATGCCAGCGCTGGGCCATCTTATCCTGTGGGAGACTCTAGCGGAGGAAGGAATTCTGTGTCAGACGACGAGTACCGTCGAGACGATACGCTGTCTCTCGTGCCAGTGAGCGTCTCTGTCTTTGTTGAGGATCAGACAATATTCGACGACGACGGCTGGCTAAGTGAGCCTCTACTGGAGCCAAGCCGCACCAACATTTATGCCAACTACCGCTACGCATATGCTGAGATGCTCCAGATGTGGAGACAGCCCCTTGCTCGTCTTGAAGTCATGAAGTTCAATGTCTTGAAGGATGAATCGCCTTTTACTGGAGCAGAAGGGAGTTTCCACGACTCGTTCACACTCCAGGACGGTGCGAGTGGGAACACAAACCATCTCAAAACGGGATCATCGCCTATCATCATGGGCAAGAAGGATCAGCTGCAAATCCTAGCCGCCTCGGGTCGCGGCTTGGACGTGACGGGAATCTGCCGCGTCCATGAGACTCAATTAGACCCGTTGCGATACTCTTCGACCGATTCCAAAGTCGGCGGGGCCGTGGGTAACTGCGACCGCTGCCGTCGTGTGCAGGGCCAGCTCCGCTGCGTATACTGCTTGGAACCTGTAGATGCCCTCTTCCCACCCTGTCTGACATGCGGGTGCTCAAGCCACGAGGAGTGTCTCGCAGAATGGCATGCCGCAGGTGAGATGTTTTGCCCTGCCGGCGATGAATGCAACTGCGTCGAGCAAGCTTCCAACGGCCAGGTGGAATCGTGGGCTGCTCTTCGGGGCGCCGTGATGAAGTCGCAGTCACAGTCCAAGCTGTCGATGCTGCCGGGCCCGGCGTTGGGTGAAAAGGACGAAGAGTATAGATATGAGAAGAGGAGCAACATTGCTGGTAATGGGGAAGACAGCAACGGCGACTGGGAACGAGTCGGTAAGAACGTGCCGAGCAGGGCCCAGGGCTCTATAACAACTCCAGGACTGAGTTTTGTACGCTTCAAGACGCCTGCGGGTGCATGGTCAAGGGCGTCGAGCCAGAGGCGAAACGGGAAGAGGGGGACTTGAAGATGTGTGGTTGGATATGGTGTATGCATGCTGTAATGGAAGATGATGGATGGCTCGTTCCATCTTTGATGTAGGCGACTAATGATGCGAAGCCACAAATAAAGTAATATTAGACTTGCATATCCATAATTGGCTACACCTCATACCATTCCTGCGGTTCCCATTGATGGACGTCCAAGATGTCTTCTAGAACACACAGATGACTCATCCATTTGTCAAGCTGTACGTGACGTGAGCCTCAATGGTGTTCAGCCATATGCCAGATCCGGCAATTGGTGCCATCGCTGCTGGATCTACACCGAGAGCCCGACACTGCGGAACGCTGCCCGCGCCGTGGGTTTCCGCCCTCAACCCCCTTGCAATACCACAGCGCTACCTTTTTCCCCTCGTACACCTAATCGTAGCTGGATATTAAGCATGAATCACACACATAACATCACATCTCGGAGTTAAGAAAAACAAAAGGACAAAAAAAAAAAGAGGTGGCATGACTTGCATTCTGCTATATGTGGTTAGTTGATGTTACTGTTTCATATGGCGTTTACGGGTTAAATACCTCTCCTCTGATACGAAGCAGCCATTCGCCAAGATCGATAAAAGAGAGGCTCAAATTAATAAACGCGAGGAGTCCAAAGTCTCAACCTACGGCAGACTAGGACCTTGTTTAAAATCTCACAAGAGGCTGCATCAGCCCTAGCCTTGCTCCTAAGATCTTACAATTTCGAGTAGAAAGAAAGGCCCTCTTTTAGAGTTTCCATATAGCCAGTGTTTGATTGGTTGGACTTGGTGGCTTTATCCTGTAGTTCCAAAAGTCGCACCATGGCTTCTCTGTAATAATCTCATGCTTATATTACTTTTTTTCACTTGACTCAAAAAAAATGAAAAATTCTCAAACACACAGACTGCAACATTAAAGCATGTGACGGAGACTCGGAGTTTCGGGTGGGTCTCGAAAGAAACAACTATTTTTACACGCCAGATCTTTAAATCCTTGGCAGCGATGGGGAACCCCCCAAATGACGCCTTAAACTCTTAGGCAAATTATCGACAGGAACACAAATACATACAACTATACAAAGCAGTGCTAAGTAGGTAGGTAGTAGTAATCTAGTAGTTACCCCCCACACACAAAATGCTCGGCATACTGGGCTAAATAGCAATCGGAACGACTTCCGTGCAAGCCGTATGTACTGCGGAAGCGTATATGCTCGGGCATGGATTAAAAGAGGGGAGAGGTCAGATAAGAGTTGTAATGCAGGGAGATATTAACTACTAATCAGTTGTAACTAAACTACGCAAAATAACAATCTTAAATACTAACCCAAAGGGTCGTCTTTTTCCTTCTTCTCATCTCATCGTCCTTCTAATCTGGCAAACACCCGATCCTTCGAAATCCTATTGCCTTATAGAGTTTGCTAGGTCTTATACAGCTTGAGGCTTGGGTAACAAGGCTTCGTACAGGACAATAATAGCAATTGCGCTCTTATCCTGGCTTCACCGACAGGAAAAAGATCTGGTATAAAATAGGAAGCCGAGCAGTTGTCTCATTCATTCCATTCATCTCAACTACGTTTCTCTCCTCAATCGCCGTCAACACCATTCCATTCTCTTCTTCTCATCACCATCATCCTTCCTCTTATACAGTACCAATATCAACTCCAAAATCAGGCAACATGGGCCACATCACAGCAGACGACAAACTCCTCCTGCACATCCCCATGCCCCTCCCCGAATCCTTCTTCGCCGCCGCCGCCCAGCGCTTCCCCCAGCTGCGCATCCACTACGAAGTCGCCCCCGTTGTCAACTCCCGCCTGATGAACTCCAACGAGCTGCCCGACGACGTCTGGGACGGCGTCACGATGCTGTGCGTCATGCCGCCGCCCAGCCCCGAGCGCATGAAGAATGTCAAATTCGTCCAGCTGGCGTCTGCGGGCAGCGATTTGTGGATTGGGCATGAGGCATATGACAACAAGGATATCACGTTTTGCTGTACAAGCGGAGCTCACTCGTAAGTGGTCATGATTCTCACTTTTTTTTCTTTTTCCCTATTTCTTTTAGGCTAACAATTGCTTCTCATATGTAAAGAGTTCAAATCGCCGAATGGGCCATTGGCGCATGGCTCGCCCACGCCCACAACTTCCGGACCTTCATGGCCCAAGCAGACAACGAAGACTGGGACATGAAAATGAGCCTCAGCGGCTCAACAACCGACTCTCCCGGGCTCCGAATGTAAGTCTCTTCTCCCCTCCTTCCCCCTTACGTTCATTCTCATCATGTATTCATCAATCAACATCCAGGGGCATCCTCGGATACGGCTCCATCGGCCGCCAAGTCGCCCGCCTCGCCCACGCCCTCGGCATGGAAATCTACGTCCAAACCTCCAGCCCCCGCACCACCCCCGAGTCCAAGAAGCTCCACGAGTACCACGTCCCCGGCACCAGCGACCCGGACGGCCTCCTCCCCGCAAAATGGTTCTCCGGCTCCGGCCCCGAGGCCATCAACCACTTCCTCAGCCAGGACCTGGACGTCGTGCTGCTCAGCCTGCCCATGAGCCCCGAGACCAAGGGGTGCATCGGCGCCGAGCAGTTCAAGATCCTCGGCAAGAAGAAGCCCTTCCTCATCAACGTCGCGCGGGGCCCCATTGTCGACACGCCCGCTCTCATTGAGGCGCTGGAGACAGGCCTCGTGCGTGGTGCCGCTCTGGATGTCACGGACCCGGAGCCTTTGCCCAAGGGCCACCCGCTGTGGAAGGCTCCGAATGTCTTCATCACGCCTCATATCAGCTGGCATTCTTCGCGCCTGACTGAGCGTATATCAAACATCATCTTGGAGAACTTGGAGCGGTGGGATAAAGGGGAGCCTCTTCTCAACCGAGTCAAACGATAGAGAATCAAAGTTCTCAAAGCGGTGAACTAGGAGAGTACATGATATTGTAAGCAGATGTAACCATAACTTTTGCATTTAATAGCCGTGCTTAGCGTAGATTATACCAAATGAAGCTAACTTCCAACCAAGCTGGCAAGCAATTGATATCATTAACTATAATCATTCATCCACTATTCACCAGGATTTTAATTGGCACATGGTGTCAGCACGTACAATTAATATATGTGTGTATATTATAACGAAGATGTAACTTCATGAAGCGTTTCCTTCGTCACCATTAACTCGTCAAACTCGTACATGTAGTTATCCCTGCGAAGGGCTTGTTAGTCTGCCCGTTCTCCGTGTGTAATCTTGAGCCGCCCATGCGACTTCTACTCTTCTCTAAAACAGGATCGTTCAACAAATAAACAATCTTGTTTCCATCCAAATCCATATGCTCCAATATGAAACCCAAATGACAAAGGTAGGAGAAGAGAAAAACGAAAAAGAAGCCAAAAAAAAAAAAGCCAAAAAACAAAAAAAAAAAACTATAAGAAGCTAATTTGAGGAGAAAATACAAACAAAAAGGAGAAATCGAGAGAAATCGAGAGGTGAGAGGCGAGAGGATGAAGAAATTGCAAGTACCTTCGTATTTCTAATCCCCCCGTTGCCTGATTTTACGTCGCGTTATCTTGAGTATCACGCTTGGGTGAATAAAAATCGCTAGTGCTTAATCGAGCTTGGAGAAAGCAAATAGCTAGGGCGAATCGACCGGATTACTGTCTCTATGGCTAATTTCAAGCACAATGGAGCAGCAAGTTCCTGTCTTCAAAATGTGCTTCCATTTAATGTCGGTTCAGGTAAATACTGGTCGCCGTGATGAAGAAATTCAAGTGAGTACCCTTCGTTTGGGTGCGTTCTTGGTAAGGTAGGTAGCTCATATTGCTGCTCCATTGTTATTATGAGGTGAAAGCGAGCGACTGAAATGAGTGAGCGTGATAAAAGATCATCATTGACGTCCTTTGCTGATGTAATGACTGGCCCATTGAAATCGTATAAATTTCCGCCTGCCACCTCTCACTCGCTCCAGTTATTCGTATGTTTTTGTTTTTTAAAAAAAAATCGCGTCGCGATTCTTGTGACACGTACGTAAAAAGCTTCATGCGTTTGCTTCCATCGACCATGTTTGATCAAAATCAAGTTAATATCTGTCGAGCGCGTAAATTCCAAAATCCGGTATAGGTCCAGGCCAAGTTGTGAAGTGACATCTTGCTGTAAAAATCCACAGTGTTGCCACGTACATCTGCGCAAGTCATCAAAGTATTAGGCTGAGAAGGGATATTTTGCCCCCTTTATCTTGTCTCATAGATGGCCTGTCTTGCTGGCATCTCTGGCGTTTTTCGTCGAGCCGAGATCGTGACCTCGTCATCAGGGCCTTCCCATCGTAGAGAAAAGGTCAATATCCTCTCAACAATAATCCATCTCATTCGGTTTTCTGACGTGTCTTTCTCTGTAGCTTGGGTGACTTTGGTGGACCATGGTAGGATGCGCTGCCAACCCTCGGAGCTCTCCATCTTGCGATATTTGCCATCCATGAAGATGACTTTGGAGACCATTTTGGACCGGCCGTGGTTCAATGACTGGCAATCTTCCTTACCACATCGCCCTTCTCGCAAGACAGCTTTGGTTTCCGGCTCATCCAAGTCCAAGGGGGCAATCTCCACAATGTTCTCATCTATCCAGTACCGAAATTGCCGTGCCGTTTTCCTCAGTCGTACGTCGTAGGGGAGGTTCTGGTCCACGCCAATCATCCAGGACCTGTCTACCTCGCCGACCTTGACGATCCACAAGTCTTTCAGATTGGGAAACCAAAATTTGTCAAATTCGACCTTGCCCGGCCTCTCCTGGGGGTACCACCTTTCTAGATAGGCAGAATAATGGCCAGGCACCTCGATACGCCCATCGTCAGGGAAGCAGTCCCAAAAGGCGAGCCTCTCGACAAGCGGGGCCAGCTCTTCCAGGGGCGTGTTGGAGCTCTGGTCAGCTATGTTGGGGTCGCAGACCAGAATGTCTCTGGCAAAGTGAATGTGAGATCCGCGGCCTACAGGCTCGTAGCCTTCTCTAGTCTCAATCCGAGCCTCTGCGTTCAAGCGAGTGACAACAGGGATGAGATACGAGTTTGGCTTGTGGACAAGATCGTCCAGTATGACGATGCGTGGCTCCACCGAGCAAGACCATATCTTGAGACGGAGTTCTGCGGGCAGACGAGTAAAGCCCGAGACGGCGGACGAGTGGTCATCGTCAAAACTGGACTGGTCATCAGCCTCGCCGTCGGCAGCGCTGGGGAGCGAATGAATCGGTATCATTGCGAACCGGATAGTCTACAGCACAAGTGGAATGCCGTATATATGTATATGTATATATATATATATATATATAAATGATATATATAGATATAGATATAGATGTGTACGTATGTATGTCTGTATGTCTGTATGACTGTATGTCTGTACGCGTGCGTCTGTGTATGCGTATGCGTCTGTGTACGCGATATGGGCAAAGAGCAAGAATGGAAAAGGGGAGAGAAGAAGTGTACAGCCGGATGTCGGAATCACGACTCTCAAGTCTCATACACGGTAAACAGACACTATCACCTAAAAGTCTCGAATCACGCGGAGGTCAAAGAAGCTAAGAGGACAGCCGCAGGGTCTCCCCGTCTCTTTAAGAATGTAAGGGGTGCGACAAGGTCGGAGGTCGGGCGCAGCGTTATGTATGCGGACGGAGCACGTTGTTGGGGAGACGCCATATGCGGCGTGGCAGATGCTAGGGGGGTGTCTTGGTAGGATGGATGGATGGATGGAGGGATGGATTGGAGGGATGGATGAGTGGGATAAAAAGGATGGACTGACGGAGGTGCGCGTGAGAGAGGCACAAAGGAGAGGCCCAGGATGTGGATATGCGCAGACGGTGGTCATACCGAGCACGCCAGGTACAAGGCACTGCGCATATCTGCCCGTATAAGCAGTGTAAGGTCGCGGCGGCTGCAAGTACCGCGCAGCAGCAATGCGACTCGCAAAGCAGGATTACTCGCCAGGCAAAGCACAAGAGGCCAGAACGGGGGTCCGGACGAGGCCTTGTCCATGTAAGGGCATATACTCGCACTATAGGTGCAGTATGTACGAGTAATACTACTGGTACTACTACTACTAGTACCCAGGCAAGGTACCGCTGGGCAGGCAATACTGCCGCTCGGTACTTGTACATGGCTCGTACACGGCTGGCTCTGCGCGAGTGCTCGTCGGCTGTTATGCATGCGGTATGTCGCATTACAGTGGTGGTGCTCCGTCGCAATGCAAAGCGGATAGGTGCAAGCATGAGGCTAGGGATCCCGGGGGCGTGGGATTGGCGAGGATGGGGCCAAAAGAACCGAGAACAGATCCATCCCTCGTCGTCGACGGGGTCCGTACCTGGCTATTGGATCCCGCGTGAGGCCATCGTGGGCTCGGGTGGATAAGCACGGCAGACGGCGTCTGTAATTGCTGCGTATTGAGCGTGCGAGTGGCGGCGGCGGCGCTATGCATCAGCGAAATGGAAACCTTGACGTGAGCTGAGCTGAGCTGAGCTGGACTGGGCCGGGCTGAGCTGAAGCCGGTGACTAGAGAAGAAGACGAGCTTCTCTGGTGCTGGTTCTGGACTGGACGTAGCGCATGTAGCTGAAAACCAACATGACCAACCGATACAGGCAAAGACAGGCAGCAAAGCGGAGCTCTCCGGCAGCAAGCACCAGTAGAAGGACAGGGCGACAGCAGCTAGGCGCAACCTTGGAAAGGCGATGCAAGGCGATGCAAAGGCAAATATTACGCGACGCTGCAGGGCGATGTGATGTGATGCGAGTTGATGCGATGCGATGCGAGACGAGACGAGACGAGAGAGCGATTCGAGTGGCTGGCGGTCAACACGAGTTAGTTGCATCGCCGGACTGGATGGATCATTGAGGGCTTGAATCGTCCAGAGCCTTGCTTCGATGGCGGGTTTTTTGCCAGTCGCAGCCGTAGTTCAACGCCGCGGGCCGCCTATGGAGCAGCGCTTTACAGGCATTACTGGCTGTGGCCACGGCTAGCAGAGTCGCAGTAGGATTGAACGGACAGGGCAAGAACGGGAGCAGGGACGGGAGCAGGGAAGCACTGAGGCAACCCCAGGCAGGGACAGGCGTGGTACACGGGTGTTTGTCAATGTCGTGTGCACGGCGCTGTACAAATACCAGTGCTGCTTGTACAGACGAGCCCCATGCGCACCTCCTTCCCAAGCTCAACGCTACTCTATCACGCGTGCAAGTGCAAATGTCTGCGACTTGCCTGCGACTTGCCTGCGACTTGCCTTGTGTTTGCTACGACTTGTGTATGTATTAGCCCGCGACTGCCCGAGTGGCTGCAATGCGTACCCAGGAAAGAGCAATTGATGCTTGGCCGCGAGGAGGGGCGGCGAGCAACGAGATTGGCCAGCAGCAAGGCGGCCAGAGCCAAGACTGCCACGGCCCGGCCAAGCTAGGTATTGAACCCTTGTCAATGTGTATTCTTACAGCTCAATGTCAAAGCATGGAAGCAATACAAGAACATTTTAGTATAGAAGGGCCGTTGCAGGACAAGCACCTGTGCTGCTATCTATAGCACTATACCTGGTAAGTATCCAGGTGGAAGAAGCTCAAACTCATACGAGCATTATCAGTAAGACGCCAGTCTGTACTCCATATTCCATATACAGGCACTCGTCCATTTCGATACACCCAGCATCAAATCCATCCACGATTTCACCGACGGGTTGTGACGGCGGCTACTTGCAGGCTGTTGCTCCCTAGGCGCTGATCATTCGCCCGCTAGATAGCCTGCTGGGCGGGTGCCGCTAGAGCTTAGCGCAGCTACAGTGGATGCCGGCCGCTCAGCGTGGTTGGCAGGCGCTGGACGCCAGTAGGCATCCCTCGGCGATGCAGAACTCGCTCCCTGGCCGTCACCAATTGGATGCCGCGGTAACATATTCATCGAGCCTCAGCTTCCAGCGTCAGCAGCCGCGGGCGCAGCTGGGACAGGAGTATGGAGTCAAAAAGGAGTACGTCGTTGGATCCAGCAGGAGCACTAGCAGGTCCTGCTGCCGGCCGGCTCGGTTTGCGGTTATGAAATCTCAAGGCCATGATAAATCTCGTCATGTCGGCTCCTGCGCAGCTCAGCTCTCGTCTCGGGTATTGCTCAAAAAGTTGGCTTTTGCCTCTCTTCCGCCTCCCTCTCTCCCTCTCTACGCCCTTCTCCTCTCCGACTTGTCTGGCTGGCCGCCTGTCTCGCCCTCCCTGCGTCGTCACCAGCTCTCCAAGCGTCTTGTTTGCCATCCTTTCCGAGTCCGACGTGCTGCTTGAAGCACAGCTGGGAGCACAGCTTTTGACGCTACCTGACTTATGTAGGTACCATCTCTAAGGCGTGCAGCTTGCGTCTGTCGTACCTCATCATCTGCATCGGCTGCGTGGGCCTCCGCAGACTCCAAGGTTTACGAACGAGGCCAATGGGGCAAAAAAGGCAAAACGGAAGAGCCTTGCTAGACCTTTTTACCCGCGGGCGTACGAAGTATCCATAGCATCCGCATCTGCTCTGCCTGAACGAGACCGATTCTCCAACAAAAGGCTTTCCACACCTGTGCAGCAGCTTCCCAATCGCGCCTCTTCTGCTTCTTCGGGGTCGCAGAGGGAGCCGCCCAGTCGTCTCGTGCGCTTGCTTTTTCCCTGGGCAGGATAGTGATGGCTGCCAACGGGATTGCCGGGTGGCATGACAGACGCCAGTAGCGGTCCCTATCCATCCCCTATCCTGCCATTGGTCTCGCTCTCTTGGTCGTCGACAGCCACCAAGGCTCGGCTCGATGGAGCGGGCAGGTGGCTGACTTGTCCTCGTGAATCAGAGCGGCTGAGGCGGACGGTTGGTTGGTGGCCAGCCGAAACTCTTACAAGGACGACGCTAAACAACCAACCAATCTGCGGCTTCTTTGCTTCCCTCGGATCAGCCGTTAGAGCCTGTCGGCGACATCCCCCCGATTCCAAGACAAGAGTCGTCGTCATTGCCCAGCACTTCTTTTGGCACGACCAACAACTCGGCTTCTCAAACAAAGTACCTACCTATTGCTACTACGTACCTGGATAGGAGTACTATTATTAACTACCTAGTACCTGCTTTTGCCGGCCGATTGTGACGCAAAAGCCGGCGCTTTACGTACCTGTATGAGTTGTACTACTAGCTCCCTGGATGCTTGCAGAGAGCGCAAGGGCATGTTTCTTAGTACAAGGGCCAGCACAAGAGCACAATCGCGACCTCGGAAAATGCTACTGAGAGGAAAATCTTGCAACCCTTTCTCTTGTCAGCAAGTGTGGAGAGAGCGAAGAGGCACAGATGCCTACCAAGGAGACTTTATTCCGACCATCGCCCTTTAAAAGGCCTCTTGCAGCCTTCGCGTTTGCCGAGTATGAGTTGACGTATCTCACAATAAGGAGTGTCTGCTTGGTCCTTTTCTTCCTCAGGAGAGAGTTGTTCATCTACACAACTGCAAAGTATATTGCCGTCTTGATCAAATGGCCAACGCCGTGAATGGCGGCTTTGATCTTATCGTCAACCTCTGTAGATGATTGGCCAGCTAGCTGCCTCCCTACTTGGGCACGATGTGCAGCTTCAATATGGATGGCCCGGCTTGCATGTGACACCAGCGTCGAAAGGGGAACACGGAGCGCACAAGAAAAGATCGATTACGAAGCATGCTGGCAGCATTCAGAGCACCTCGTGTTTGTTTTGTTGCAATGCTACCTTTCATCTACTACCTGCCCCTGGGTCGTCATTTTCTCTCATTACTACATGGCGACCTAGCTCATCACGGCGGGGCTTGCAGTGACCCCAAAAGCAACCAAGGGCCAATAAGGAAAATAACTGGCGTCGCGTCGTCGTCAATAGACGCGTCTTGCATGCTCACTAAGGTGCGAGACAGGCATGGACACTAGTATTACGGGGTCCTATCATACAGCATGGAGCAATCAGAGCCGACTGCCGCGAGTCGAGCTACTGCCGCCGTCGCCACTGTTGCTGCTACTGCTATTGGCGCCAAGGAAACCATTCACAAGACTTGCGAATTCATCGGCGTATTGATACAGGAACCCGTGCCCTGAATCTGGAAACAGATGTAGTCGTGCATCCGCGGAGCTAAGCATTTTCCACATCAGGATGCTGTTGTCAGTAGGTAGCAGCAAATCATCGCAGCCTACAGAGAGTATAACAGGTTAGCTGCATGTCGACATCAAATTCTTTCTTTTTTGTGCTCTTTTCTCTTTTCTCTTTCTCTTTTCTCTTTCTCTTTTCTCTTTGCTTTTTTTTCTCCCCATGGAGTGACTCGACCGAAATTCATTCCATTGACTGGGGGGGGGGGGGGGGGGGGCAACGCAAAGGATTAGGGGGGAGGGAGGCAGGGCAAGGTAAGGGCAAGGAGAAGCGAGAGACTCACCATTGGCGATTAGCACGGGCAGACGCAGCTGTCGGAGCCGCTCGTAGCTGCCTTGGGAAGCATTTTTCTTATCCATGAACCTGACAAACGCAAGCGCCTGCTTATGAGCTGGCCCTGGAGGCACTGGTTCGCATCTGACCTCGCCGGCATCGCATCGGTTGTTGATAATGCGCTCCCATGCCTTGTTGCCCGCTTCCCGACTGCGCTCGGAATGCACAAAGAACCCATCCAGGAAAGCTTGCCGCTCCTCCTCCACAGTCTTGGCCGCCTTGAGGCGCTTGAATGCCTTGCCATCGGGAGACGGCCTAACGCCGTCTCCGGAACTGGGAATCGTCCCGCCCAGCACCAATCGTCGCACCTGTTCTGGCGCGTTCAGGGCCATAAGCTGCGCAACGCAGCCGCCCATCGAATAACCAAATACGTCAACCTTGCTGTTCTGGCCAAGAATCTGCTTGATTACGGCAGTGTAATGCGCTGCCCAGTCGGGGTAGGTATCGGGAATTTCACCCTCGGATCGGCCAACTCCAGCATTATCAATCAGCAACACTGGGCGCTGAGCCGCGAGAGGATTGACCAATGCTGGATCCCAATGATCCATTGTCTGTCTGTGTCGCAACGCACAAGCCGGAATGTATCAGCAAACAGTCTTTTCAAGAGAGAGTCTACACTTTTTCCGGATCCTTTCAGAGAGAACCGAGAGGCAAAAGGCGGCCGCTGCGACCGCTCACTCAGGCAATAGGCGTTACTTACTTGAATCCCGGGATGAGTACCAGCGGGATGCCATGTGATAGGCCAAGCAGTCGATAGGCAAAGGTACAGCCGTCTACCTTGACAAACTGCGTTTTGGCCGCTTGGTAGGTAGCCATGGCAGCGTCTGTAAATGAATCTGTGTATATGTACCCTGTAGACTGGCCAACACAATCCGCACAAAGAGGGAAGACGCAGATGTACGCGTATTCGAGTCTTGAGGCGTGCGTTCAACGTTACAAGAACAAAAAGCAGCACCCAACAACGTAGTGCTAAGAGCCCTGAAGTCTTCTTGGCGGCGGTATTGTAGTTATATCTGGCGTCTACCCCATATTACGCCGAGGATGCCTATTAATGTTCACCACTCCCGCATTTATAGTGCTTTTAGCGCCGTGTCTACCCACTCCCCCTCAGTTGAGAAGAACCAGAACGGTAGCACGAGTGGATGAAACTCGACGGTTACTGTAGATATGCCACCCGCACGTCGTTGCCTCTAGTTTTGCTCTTTTGGTGCCTTCTTCTTATTTCAAGAGCAAGCGTTTATAGTGGTACAGCATCTGCAAATACGTACCGCGAGGTTTGGCCCGAGGTTAAAAGAAGGGTTCGGCTCACTGAAGATAGTGGAACCGGGTGGGTAAATAGGCTTCACCCGTTCTCGCGTCTAGTCTCTTGGCATTTGGTAGCGCTGTGTCCCAATATGGCTTGAATGATGAAAAAACGTATACAAGTACAAGCTTGAGCCTCATCTTTGGCGAGGGAAATACGAATTTTTTACTGAAATTGCATGTTACGTTACGATAGCCCAAGATATGGGCCCTTTTCTGCTCGTGGATTGAGATGATTCGGAACTGGTAAAAATAGAGAAATTTCTTGGATATATTGGGTATTCAATCTTGCCTTTCTTTGTGTTCATCATGTCTGATTATATATTATTACATGTACAGGTATACACCCCATAAAGCCTTGGCACATATGTGCGGTTCATCCATTTCCACGGCCTGCTCCTTGTCCGTCCGCTCTAAACCCAGTAGCTCAACGCCAAAACATATTGTTGCTCGGAAATCAAATCTCAAAATCATGCAGAATGATGGCCATGTGACTGATGTAGTCGACATGACTGTGTTCAAGTTGTTTATGTCTTTGTTTTCTTTCTTTTGTTCCCTTTCTCTTCCGTCATACATGGGGCTTACTGCTCTTCATTAGATTGTCTGGTTCCGGACCTCCGAGGACGTCCCCTTTTCGGCCGCACTTGGATCAGAGGCAGGACCATTAGTCTCGAGATCTTCCTGAGAGCATAGGCTAGATGATAGATTAGACCAGCGAACAAAAGCCATGCTGTAATACATTGAGTAAGAGTTTTTTTACTTACTTTCTCATACAGGAGCAGATGATGGCCAGTGCAAGAGAGAAGCCCAGGATGAAAAAGGCAAACCTTTGACCAAGGGCATGAGCAGGACGGCGATGATGCTGCTTCCCTTCGTGACCCCAAACAGGAACAAACTTTTCTGAGCCATACGACGCCATCAGGTCGCCGTTTGGATCAATGGTGACCGTCTTCCCCTTGTCACCGGCAAAGACGGGAACCCCTTCAATGTCCTGGCTCGTCTCAATCATATCGAGCGTTGCATCAAGGAAGTATTTTGAAGGCTTGTTGCTTTTGGATAGCTTTTCCAAAAAGGTCCTGTCGACTCTGAAGATGCGAGCTCGCTTCTCGTTGACCCGCTCGGATGATGGAGTCTGGGGTACTGAGGGCTTTGTGATGGCGGCAAGGGGTTCTGAGACGACGGTTTTCGGCGTTGGGGCACTTAGGACCAAGCCTGTGACGTAGAGGATGGTGAGGAGGAGAGAGGTTGTCTTGACGGTCATTGTTATGGATGAAGTTGATGGTTTTTGATGATTGTGGTGATGATTGTGGTGATGGTTGTAGTGATGGTTGATGAGGGATAAAGGGGGGGCAAAGTTTGGCTCTAGTGCTTTATAGAAACTCCCAAAAGGCGTGATTTGAGACGATGATGAGTTGATAGAGAAATAAGAAACCAGGAGACTCTCTTCTTGGTAGAAGTCTAAAGATGTGAATACTGTTGGTGCTCGCTTGATTATCAAATAGATCTCGAAAGATAACGTGGCGATATAAGCGAAGATATTCAAACAAAGTTTCTCAAGGATTAGATTAACACTCGACCCAAAAGAAAAAAAGGGAGCCAAGACGGAGTATTAGAGAGAAAAAAGAGGACACCAGGCAACTAAGCTTTTTTCCCTCTCTTAATAAGAGGGGCGTGCACAGCCCGTTCAAAACTCGGGGACTGACAAAAATCCCCGGCGTCAGAAAGAGGGAAGAAGGGGGGGCGAATGCCTCCTAGTATTGGGTACATGATGCAGTGGTGGTCCACGTCAAGCAGAGTGAGAAGGAGAAGTTCCGCGTGGCGCAGCAATTGGAAAAAAAATAAAATAAAAAAATAAAAAAGGGCGCCAGTCATGCCCCCTTTGGCAAAGCAAGCCCACTCAAACGAGCCGAGCAAAGAGAGAGAGAGAGAGAGAGCAGTTGGTCTTGAATGTTTTTGCTCTCTTGCTCTTTGCTATTTTGCTATTCTGTTTTTGAAAATGCAAACAAGGGGATGGACGTTAGCGGAGAGTGGGTGGGATAATTCGCATCGCCGTCCCTGGATTCAGCTACAGTAAACTTACAAGTTACAACCACAAAGAGTTACCGTCGAAAGACAAAGATTGATTTGGCGAGGGGCCTGGTCGAAAAGGCCCAGATTGCCTACTGTGGGAGAGAGACAGAGAGAGAGAGAGGCGGCAGCGACTTACATGATTCCCACAATTTGGCCGGGGGGGTTATAGCCCCCCCAGCATGATCGAGAATCATCTTGACTATTTCGGACAAACAATGGACCACGCAATCGAGATTGGTATTAGTGATACATCATTGGCGGTAAGGGAGACACATATGTCCACGTTCATGCTCACGTTCACGTACATGCTGTGAGAAAACGTTACAGAGGGCACCGTTGGTTTGTACCTGCTACTTTCTAGCATTCCTGTAGTTAGCAGAGAATTCTAAGCAGGGTCTCCTACCTTAGTATTCGTGATAGTGGAGAAACGTACCGCTTCGGCAGATATCCGAGCTAAGAACGAGGCGGGCAAAAAGGATTGAGATTAAAAGACGCGAGTTTTACGAGGCGGAATCGACGACCCGGATATTACTAGCTGTCAACGTTTAAAGGGAAAAAGAGGCGCGCGCTTTGATCCACTAAAGTTCTGATTGAGGCCCGTCGGTGTTTTTTTTTGTTCCAGTGCTAGTCTAGAACCTTGGAATAGGGTCGGGTGTCTATAACGGCGTCTAGTGCTGAATAGAGCTGCCAATCAAGGGTCAATACCTAGAAAAAAAAGCTTCAGTGACTTTGATAACCTGGGCTGTTGCTTATTAGAAAATTTAGACAACAAGAAGTTGTCTGAGAGAATAAATAGGACTTTGGTCTCTCCCCCTCTATTGCCCGAAATGGATGCAGATCGCCCAATTACGATTTAGCTCAAGATTTGCCTTTGTCTTGGCACTCTTCTCTAGGCGCCTTACTGTAGATTTCACATGGCGAGCCCGAACCCGGATCCAGGATGGCGGGCCAAACGCGTGTTTGTGCGCCTTGGCTCTTCTTGTCTGCTGCGAGCGACAGCCGAGGCTTTGATTGTCTAGTTTGGCGCAGTCAATTCTAGCATGAATCGGATTGCCTTCTAGAAGCACAGAACCGGGATTTTCTCCGGATCTATCGCTGAGAGCGTTACGTAAATGACCCTTTTCTGAGCAGAGGATTCAATGCCGTTTCGTTGGTGGTTATGCCGGGCGATGCAGACTAGGGGCTACGCACCTCTCAGACGTCAGGCGTTGATGACAAGTGTCAGATCCTAAGCACCACCTATTCAGTTGTCTAGGTTACTAGTTGTTTACTCTGACTTCCTAATTGATGCCTGTGTTCAATTGAGTTGTAACAAACAATACATGCTCTTATTACTCAACGCAATGCAAGTGAGAGGCTCCAAAGACAGATACGAGGTGCTGCCCGCCATCTGTCCCACGGCAAGGTACATCGCTGTAGGTAAGGTACCCGCTGAGCCCCACGAGTGACATAAGGGCCGCGGCACCTATTTTCGAGAGCCGCGCCAAAACAGCTATTCTTGTTCTCTTTCGCCAAAATCGAAATTGCAGTCAAAGCAGCGACAGATGAAACGGTCAAAGCCACCACCATCGGCGCCCGCGCTCGTATCTGCCCAGAAGACCGCTCAGCTCTAATGCTCTAAGTCTATAACCAGCAAAAGCACCCGTCACCGAACTTCAAAACACTCCAGCCGCTAGGACCACCCTATTGCGCCTCGTCCACAGCCAGTCTTAGCGAGATCCAGCGATAGGCGACCACGACGACGACGTCAACGACGACCAGGGGGCGGCTGAGAGAGGCTCTGCATTAGAAGAAGAAGAAAAAAAGGCAGCAAGAATCACAGGCAAATCACGATGCCCTCGCCGACTGACGACGAAACGCCGTTCCCTGTGCTGAGCCACTCCGCAAGCCTCAGCGCTCTGGACCGCTCGCACCTGTCACCCCACGATGCCTTCACGTATCCGCTGCGGCAGACCTACGACGCAGACGGCGCGGCCGATCCGCTATCCCATTTGAGGCACCTGAAGGATGACCGTAGCAGGAGCCGGAGACGCAAGAGGGCTTGGAAGAAGCTCATGTGGGTGAAGCAGTCGTGTAAGTTCTGTTTTTTGTTGAAAGTGGGAATTCTGAGCGAGAGGAAAAGAGCGAATGCATGGCGAGATGAGATGGGGAGGAAAAAAAAGACCGAGAAGGAAGATAGCTAGACGTGGGAAAGGGAAAGACATGGCGAGCTGACGGGCATGGTCCGACATGTATGATGCAGATCCAGACAACTACACCGATCAGGCAACATTTCTCGAGAACCTGCAGCGCAATCCAAGACTGAAACCCTACGACTTCTGGCCGCTGGTGGCCGACTCGACCGTCATCCTGCAGCACGTCTGCTCCGTCAGCCTCTTCGTCGTGTGCTTCGTCGGCATCTACCAGGAGCGCGTGTCGCCCGTGTCGCTCGTCAGCGGCAGCAGCTTCGCGACGTTTCTCGGCTGGATCCTGTGGGAGCGATGGGTCTCGGAGGAGATGGATCAAGAAGAAGACGTGAGCGCGAGCGGCATCGGCATCGGCATCACGGCCTCTGCGACCAAGAGCGAGAGCATCCGGCGCCGGGCTCGCGCAGCTAGCATCCGCCGGCCTGTTGTTGCGCCGCGCATTGCGTCTGTCACGCCGAGCAGCAGCACCAGTCGACCGTCGTCAGAGGCGGCTTCTTCTTCTTCGTCGCGGCCGTCTGCGGGGAACTCGACGGTCAATATTCAGATACAGATCCCCGAGGGCGAGAGACTGCGGACGAGCCGCCCTCCTCGTCATTCTTCTACGACCACCTCTCCTTCTTCGACCAACTCTCCGGCATCTCCTACTTCTCCCACGTCGCCCATATCGCCCATATCGCCCATATCACTCAAGGAGCCTTCTCCCACCGGCGCCGATGGCCAGCCGTTACTGCGTAGAGCCAGCTCAGAGGTGATTCCGGACTTTGCGCCGATCCCCAACGAGGCAAACCGCCTACACCAGCGTCTCGGAACAATCAAATCCGCTATCCTAATCTACTCTACCCTCCTCGGCCTCAGTCCCATCCTCAAGTCCCTGACGCAGTCCACCTCGAGCGACAGCATCTGGGCCATGTCCCTCTGGCTGCTCGCCATCAACATCTTCTTCTTCGACTACTCGGGCGGCGTGGGCGCCAAGTTCCCCGCGTCGCTGTCCACCAACGCGGCCCTCATGGCGTCGACCGTGCTGGCCAGCCGCCTGCCCTCGACCAAGCAGGTGTTTTGCCTGACGCTCTTCAGCATCGAGGTGTTTGGCCTGTTCCCCGTGTTCCGGCGCCACGTGCAGCACCGCAGCTTCCGGCAGCACGCCATCCTCACGGCGCTGCTGATCCTCGGGGCGGGCTGGGGCGTGGGCGTGGTGATGCGCGACCCCGGGCCGCCGGGCTCCTGGCCGTGGAGGCGTGGGCTCGGCGGCATGGTGGTGAGCGTGCTGATTGCGGCGATTGCGACGGGCGGGTGCAGCTGGTGGCTGATTGGGCTGCAGCGGTATAAGAATGAGATTCGGGGGCCTTGGGATCCAGCGAGGCCTATTATCATGAGCAGGCAACGGTGGGAAAGCCAGTGATCTTTCATGGATAAGCAGTGTTCGGCTTCATAACGCGTGTGTGATTTTCATAAAGCAAACAGCCTGCCTGTATTATGTGCTATTACGTCAAATTCAAAACATGTTTCAATCGCAAGATTGGGTTCCTTTGTCACATTGAATTGGGTATAGGCAACAGGATTTCTCTCCATTCTCTCTTCTTTTTGAAATAGTATCAGTTGCTCCGTATAAACAGCTGCACTGGCTAATGTCTTCAATGGCGTAAAGCTTGCAAGACTCGAGGCTGTCGTAGTACTTTTAAGAAAGAAATTCAAGACAACAATACAGCACAAGCTTGCAATTGATAAACTGCGTATTCGGAAAGACGGCTTCTGCTAAGCACAAGGCGAGAATTGCGGATATCGAGATCATCTTCCAGCGTTGTATATTGGCTTGTCTTGGAATACCGCCGAGGTTATGGGGGGAAAAAACCCCTCAACTTGTTGCTCTAAGTGGCACGTTGGTGATTTGAATAGGACGTATGTACATCAATACCAATACCGGTAGGCGGTGGTGTATCACATTTTCGTATCGACAAGTAGGCATTCCTACGTTTGAAGGCCCTGCCGACGGGCCTTTTCTTTGCTTGCCTTCTATTCGCCCGTTGCGACTTTATGCTAAACGACCCCCTCGTCCAGGGTCTCATCGCCCACGGCCTCCATCAGGTCACAAGCAGCTGACTTGCTAGAAGCGGAAAGGACCCTTGTAAGGATCCATTGGCTATTAATGGCTTCAGTCACCTCCATAATGCCCCAGCCGCAGGTTTTACTGTACTAGTTGTTATACTGCGGTGTGCTGTGCTGTGCTACCATTGATCAATCAATCAATTCTCGACCCTTCCATCGTAATCGTGGCGGGAGCCCGTCTCACTAGGTCAGAACACCAGCCGTTTTGCGCGTATAGGGGACTTGGGGACGCAGTGGCACTCAGGTACCTTGCAGGTGGCGTCCTCTGTGAGTGCGCTAGAGCTGGGCACACGCGCCAATCAGCGACGGGCAGTGCTTATTTTTGTCGTATTTATATGCTTGTGTGTGTGTCACCTTTTTTTTTTGTGTCATTGCAATGAAGCGAGCAATATTGGTGGCTTTTATTGATTTTTCCGATGGTGAATCAACATTAAGCCGCCCTTTCTGTTCGTGTTGTTATTACAGCATGAAAGTATTAATCGTCTCAACTTTCATGTCTGCTATTTTAGAGAGGTGTAGTTGCTAGCTGACTCCAGCCCGTAGAACGGTAGAACACACGAACTCCAATACCTAGCTCTCACCAACCCCCCTGTAGCAGCAGCAGCGCAAAGCACTAGCACCACTAGCTGCCAGACCGGGGGATCACCATCCGGGGGAGCTGCCACTGCTTCGCGCACTCCAGGCTGTCTCAGTCGCTTGCCCGCACGATCCTTCCTCCCTGCCCCCAGCCAGAATGCGACTCAACGACTCGGACTAGCTGCCCGGTGGACTGATAAAAGAGGCCCTTTCCTACTCTTGCTCACCTTCTTTTCTCTCCTCCCCTTCGTCACTTTTGCTCTCTCAGGTTTTTGCTTTTTTTTCTTCCCCATCGTACATAAAGAGTCAGTCGTTGAAACCCTCACTCGCTCTTTGTTGTGCCTGCTGGACCAATCTGAAACACCAAAACCATAATAAACAAAATCTCTTCACCATGAAGGCCTCAGTCGTCACCCTCCTCCTCGCCGGCCTGGTCGCCGCCCAGGACTTTACCGGCCAGCCTGACTGCGCTGTAAGTTGAGATGGATTGGAAATAGCATGGAGGAGATTGTGTCTCGAGATGAGAAGAAACCAATCGTCCTCCTTTGCTATGTGATACCCATTGAAAAACTCTACTAACACGCACGTCTCCAGATCTCCTGTCTCAAGGACGCCATCCCCAAGGCCGGCTGCGCCCTCACAGACACCGCCTGCCAGTGCAAGACGTCGACCCAGGCCCAGCTCGCCGGCCTCGTTGCCCCGTGCCTGATCGAAAAGTGCAGCGCCTCTGATCTCGCCAAGGCCCAGTCCGCCGCCGCCGCCGCTTGCAAGGCCAACGCCGCCGGTTCTTCTTCTGCTGCCTCTGCCGCCTCCTCGGCCGCCACTTCAGCCGCTGACTCGTCTGCTCCCGCCTCGACCTCGGCCGCCACCACCTCTGAGGACACGACTAGCGCTGCCCAGACCACCTCTGCCGGCGAGACCTCTGCTGCTGAGACCTCTGCTGCTGAGACCTCTGCCGCTCAGAGCTCCGCTGCAGACTCCAGCGCCCCGGCCTCCACGGCTGCTTCCGGCGGTGCCTCCATCCCTACCGCGAGCCCGACTGGTGGCGTCTCCAACAGCACCGTCTCTGGCTCTCGCTCCGTCGTCACTCGCACCTCGACTGCCTTTGTTGGCGGCGGCGGCGGCGCCCAGACCTCTTCCACCCCCAAGACCACCTCGCTCAACGATGCCGCCGGCCCTGTTGCTGGCGTCCTCGGCGCCGTCGTGGCCGCTCTCATGGCTCTGTAAATACAGCAAGAAACTACCAATCGCATTCATAACTGTTAATAGTTTTGTTCAAGGTGTTGGGGCTAGCATGTAATCATGATGTGACGAAGTTATAATTCGAAGTGGGCGTGGACAATCAAAACGTGCTTTCTTGTTCTTTCTCTCCTTTTTTGGGACCACGATGTGGTCGGAATTGTTTTTGTTATTTTCAGTATTTTGATGGGGCGCTTATTTAAATACCACGACGCAGTAATATGAAAGACTGATATATTATTATATCTCTTCGTCTCAGAATTACATTTCACAGTGTCAATGTAACATCTATAATTTGAAAGTCATTCTAATTTCTATCTTGAAGCAAAGTCTCGCAGCATAAGTTCTTGCCAAAAGAGAGGTGAATACTATATATGTACACGTAGTAAAAGGAAATCTCTTTGAAAGTCTCAGATCTGAGAGCCGTAACTTCTCTTCATTCGTACCAGTGCATGATGCATGAAAATCGTGTTGGAAAGATCATCGTCTTTGGCTCCCTATGTCATATTGTCGTCTCAAAAGCGCCTATTAACTCTCTCGTGAATTTGATTATGTCGCTCTTGGCAGGTTCATGTCTATTACCATGGGCATCTGAGTTGGCCGATATCGAACGCTCATAATGGACGCGTTGACAAAAAGCGTCTGTTCGCCTTCTCTGATCCTGTTCTCGCCATCTGCTAGATCGATGTAGCAGCCGCGGTCCTTGCTCCACTCCAGGAGACGATTATGCTCCTCCGTGTAGGTCAAAGTAGTGTCATTAGTTGGCATAGATGAGGGAGGTGGAGTGAGAGTATAGAGGGTGCGTGAGTTTTCCTTATCGAGGACGGTAGTGGATGAAATGACGGCCTCGGAACTGCTGGGCTCGGGTTTCCATTGCATCAGTTCTGCACCCCAGTTTTCGTGAATATGGCCGAAACAATGGATCTTGGGCCTTGCTTGGTACAGGGATCTGAAGAGAGTTCCACAGCCAGCTCTGTCCCCGCGAGAGGTACGGTCGAGGACGCCGAGCGGAGGGCCGTGGGTCATGGCAATGTCGACATCGGATGGGATGTCAAAGTTGTGCTCTCCGCCATGATACTGAAACGCCCAGAAACCATACATGGGCGTGTACTGGCTTGCGTAGATGCGCAGCCGGGAGCCGTTGGCGAGGTCGAAAGAGTATGTCCCTTCGGTAAGATATCTGACGCCGTCGACCTCGGCTTCTTGGGCAATCTGCATGACCTTGTTATACTTGGGCTTGTCATGTTTGGCGGCACCATCGCTGTCAGTGCCGTCATGGGTATAGTTCGTATCATCAAAGGCCAGATCGTGGTTGCCAGCGATGACCAGCTTCAGCGGCGCGCGCAGGCCTCTCAGCATGTCAAACGTCTTGCGCACCTCGTCGGGCCTCCCGTGCTTGGTGAGATCGCCGCAGTGAAGGACGACATCGGCCTCTGGGAGGGGCTCTCGGAAACCGGTGGGACGTTTCATTGATGCATTCGGTTTGTTGAGTTCAGTTTCAGTGTCGCCCTCTTCCTCTGGTAAGGGGACGGAGGTGTGAGTGTCAGAGATGATGAGGATGCGGGTCTTGATGGTAGGAGAATCAAGGAATGGTGATGGCTTGGGAGGGATTGTCATGATGGAGTCGATGCTGATGATGCCGTCGTATGGTTTGATGGATGAGGCGATTTCTCGCTTTGGTTTGGGCGGAGGTGGTGCTGTGCTGTGATGTCGGAGTTGAGTATGGCGATGCTGCCTGTTGTCAAGTGACAGTGATGAGGTGTAAGTGATGTAGCCAATGATGTTTCTCCGCGGTAAGCCCCAGGCTGCAGTGCCGATGGCCCGAGAACAGTGATTCGGAAGCATATACGGGTGCCTTGGTAGGAAGAAATGAGGGAAAAAAATAAAGAAAGAAGATTTTATAAGAAGATTTGAGTCATCTATTATGATTTTTGGCGGAAGCTAATGCAAGGGGGCGCTCTGTATATGGCCGAGTGATGGGAGTCCGAGAAAGGCTGAGGCTGCTAGATCCAGGGACTGTGTTAGTTGACTGCATGTGGGGGGAGCTGCACTGAACATTAGTGGAGCTTCCAACGCCAACTTCACCTCCAAACACTGAAGCGCCGTTCGCGATCCAATCTCCAACTCGCGTCCGCATCTCCACAATCCGCACTTCTGCTTGCTGGATTCTTACAACTCCAAAGACACAATGGCTTCAGATGCAAACCGGGACATCTCCATGGGCTCTTCTCCGCCCGGTTCCGCGACTGACGACGAGCCCAAGTACGGCGGCTACTCGCGCTTCGAGATTGAGCTCGAGGTGAGGATAGATCCTCTTTTTTGGCTTACTTACGTCTCCAACCATTGCTGACTCCTATAGTTTGTTCAATCGCTCGCCAATCCCTACTACCTGAACCATCTCGCATCGCAGAAGCTCCTCACCCAGCCCGCCTTCATCGCCTACCTTGCCTATCTGCAATACTGGTCCAAGCCGCCGTACCTCAAATATCTTACTTACCCCGGGCCGACGCTGCGACACCTCGAGTTGTTGCAGCAGGAGAGGTTCAGGCAGGACATTATGAGCCCGGATCTGGTCCAGCGACTCGTCGAGGATGAGATGAAGGCGTCGGTGCAGTGGCATCGCGAGCCTTGAGGCTGCTTGTCCAAACACGATGAAAACGGGTTGATATACTCGATACTTTTACTTTTACGATGCATTTACGAATCAACAAGCATGAGCGATCTTTAAAGGCCCGAAAAAACTTTAATATCGTCTTTTCAATGTCTATTATAACAAAAACAAATCGCCTGAAATGCTTCAAACAAAACACCCCCCCATATTTGACCCAATATCCTCCAACGCCGAAACGAAGAAAAAACGACCACGAAAGATCCATCCCCTCGAATTCCGACTTTACGATAGCCGGCCCTCTTGGCCTTCCCAATGTTCTCCCCCCACCAAAGATCAGTTCTCGCGCCATCGGTGACCGCATGTCATGCACTTGAAGAAACTCGTCATCGGCTCATCAGCACTTCGAATCTGCACCTGGAAAAAGGCCGCCTCCTCGCCAGTGCAGCCTTCGTTCGGGCACTGCGCCTTGGATTTCTGCGCGTTGTCCCAGGCTCCCGGGCCGCCAAAGACGTCCTCGCGCTCCTTGCGCTCAAAGACACGCCGCGAGAAGACCGGGTCGGTGATGGCGTGTTCGTAGGGACATGTGCGGCACTCGAGGCGGTTTGTGCGATTGAGCGTCAGGGAGACGGTCAGGATGTTTGCGCAGTGCGGACAGACTGCGTTGCAAAAGAACTTTTGGTCAGATGGGAGAAACGAAACGAGATATTCGGGTGTGTGGAATCATGTGCTTACAGAGAAGCATGGCTGTGGCTGTGACTGTATCGTGTATGCTATATTTAAAATACCCTGTGCCTGGGGCGAGGCGCAGATCGACAGAATAGATTTAATGTTAAAGATGCTATGGTTGTCTTGCGCGTGCGCTTTTCACAATGGAACTTGGCTGTTCTTGTCAGAAGTAATCTGTTGCAGCTTTGAAGTCAAGAAGAGAAAATGAAGTCGTCCAAACTCGGCATCCAAAAGCCAAAAAAAAAAGACAAGCCAGACAAATGCCATGGTTGGGTCCGCTCTTACGTAGCGGCACTCCCACCCGTCTTGAGTCAGCAAGCACCAGACCCTTTGTAGAGCGGCGAGTCCCCCGTAAATTGGCTGCTGAGCGCTAAAACCAACCCCGCTAAGCTTCACCATTCCTCACCCCCTGGTTTTGTTCCCAGCGAGCCAGATTCGACCCCTCCATGGGGGACCCTCTGCTCTGTCTCAGGCCAAAAAAGCGTCGTCGTCTCCCCAGCCTATCACCGCTAGTTTGGCCTGCAGCCCATTCACGGACCCCCCCCAGTTGCTATAATCGCTTCGCCTCTTTTAAACCTCCCAACTCTTCCGCAGTGCGCGTTTGTTGTTTTGTGTTCCTTTTTTTTCTTCTTCTATATTTCTTCTTCTTCCTTTTCTCCTCAGCGTCGCCCTCTGTTTTCTCAGCGCATTTTCCTCCAATTTCCCCCGTGCTACCTATATTTCCCTTTTTGTAGAGAAGCAGTTCGGCATCATGAGCGGCGAGGAGCATGAGGTGCGTACATTACGTCAATTTACCACGCATTTTCAACATCTTCTCTCTCCCCCCACGCCATAACATCTACCTCCCTCCTATACAATACATGATACCTGATATCACATTTACTCTATCTTATCCAAAGCTGACAAAGTACCATGTGAACAGGGCGCATCCATCGAGGAGCAGCTCATCGAAGCCTGCCGGCGCGACAACGTCGAACTCCTAACCGAGCTCCTCGAAGACAAAGAAGACTCCGAAATCACCAGGCTGCTCAACCAAACCACCACCGTCATGGGCAACCACCTCTACCACGAGGCAGCCTCGCGCGGCAACTGTGCGTTTCTCCCTCTATATCCCGTTACCACCCTTTCTTCTTCCCCCCCTTTCCCCTCATGTAGGCTATCGTCCACCATGTCCAAACCAATTTCTAACAATAGCTTCACAAAAGACGACATCATCGACCACCTCCTCGACCAGCCCGACTTCGAATGCGACCCCATCAACCGCCAAGAAGGCGACACCCCCCTGCACTCCGCCATCCGCTGGCTCAACGCCGAACCCCCCGCCCAGCGCCCCTTTGGCCACCACCTCATCGACATGATGCTCGAGGCCGGCTCCAACCCGCGCATCAAGAATAAGGGCGGCCTCACCGCCGCGCAGCTCGTCGACCCGCGCAACCAGGAGCTCCGCGACCTCATCCAGAAGCACATCTACGCCAGCCAAAACGCCGGCGACTTCATCGTCAGCAACAACAGCAACAGCCATGGCGTCGCTGCGCCGGGTGGTGCGCCGCCGCCGCCGCCGCCGGGAGCGGCTCCTCCCTTGACGAATCATGTCGACGCTCATGAGGAAGAGGATTACGACGACGACGACGCCGAGTTTAGCGGCAGTGACGAGGAGGAGCGGGCGGAGTGGGAGCGCAGACGGAAGAACAGGCGGTAAATTTCACAACTGGAGCTAAGGGCGGAATCAAAAATCAAATATATATAAATGTACACGCATCACTTCTAGAAGGAAAGGAAGAAGAAACAACTCCGGCGGCGGCGTATAGCACGGAAGAGGGCGAAGAGGGCGAAGAGGGCAAGCAACGAAGCACAGCTGAGCACCTTTGAGCGAATTGAGGCCAGGCGTTGGAGGATTGCCAATTCTTACAATTACCAAGGGGTGGACCATGTTTGTATACAATAGTTGCATCTTGTTGCAAAGACACGATAGGGCGCTTGTTGGAGTGGCTAGATATGCGCTCCTATACACGCCGTCGTGGAAGAGGAAGAAGACTCATACTCAATATAGACCCTTCGCGTGGTCTTGATTGTGTCTTGTGACGCACGTCGTGTAATTCAATGGTTTTCTTATAGGTATTATTGCTGAGAGGCTTGATATATATACATCTCGAGGATCCTGGGCATACCCATGTATACAAGACTATACTTCAAGTCTGCCATCTTTAGGAGTATCATCGACCTGAGCTAAGGTTTCTGCATGCCTCCTCTTAAGCTCTTATCATGATGCAAGTGGTAACTGCAAAGACAAACAGCATTACAGTCGACAGTCTTGTCACACCCGCCGCGGATGGCCGCTCTTCCCTGATATACGTTGCGTTTCTCAGTCTTTTGAGAGAATGTGTTGACAATCTACCACCGCTCGCCAGCTCAAACATTTCAGATCCCAGCTTGCGGAGAATATCTGTCGACCGGCCCTCGGGACACATGACAACTTCCCAGCCTCCACCCTTGGGGATGATAAACGTCGACTGCTGATCATCAAAGGCGAAACTGTAGGCATCGGGGCATACGGCCTTGACTGACTTGCTATACTGCGACGGCTTGCAAATGTTGGGATCGTGGTATTTGCCGATACAGCAATCTTTATCTGTTCCTGTAGCCGCGCAGGCGCTGTTGCATGGAGCAAAGGCAGGCCGCTCGACGTTATCATCGGGATAGGGGTAGATGCCATTTCCGGGATGAGTCGGAGGGAAAGCAAGATTCAGCCATGGACACTATCCGCTAACGCTTTCGTTCGTCTCTTCTGATTCCAGAGGAATCGGGTACGTCACGTTGGAGTAAAAGATGCCCGTGCCCGTGCCCGTCGACGAGTATACCCAGCCAGTAGTGGCGATGCAAGCGCAGTTAGTGAGATTAGGCGGGATAAAGGTGGTGTTCTTGGCGGGAATGTAGTTGATGCCCATGGGTAGATTGTAGCCGTCAACGAGCGAAATGTCGTAAAAGGTTTGCATCATGTCCACTCCGCCGGCGAGATTGAACTCTGCCAGTGTGGCAGGGGTAGCTCCCTAACACAGCTCGTATTAGGCCTCATCTCTCATCTGCGTAACGGCAACTCGCAGTCACTTACACTGAATTCATAGTCCATCTTTGCGAAGCAGTCTCCTGTCTTGCAGGCGCAAGAATCTCCGCTCACGGTACAGTTCGTCCGCCCCCATACGCGACCTTGCCAGTCAGGACCTACCTATAGCTTCCTGCTTTTGTTGGCCGCCAGCTCGAACCCTCCAATTCCCGGGCCAGTTCCGGATTGCGTGGCAACGCCAGGCCATATTGTCGAGTCGCATTTGTTTGTGACTACCAGAGGGATTTTCTCATCAGATTCGCTTGGAGGTCCCCGTATGAATCGTCTCGGCTGCTCCACGCTTTCACTGAAGAAGGCTGCTTGCCAGTTGTGATTCATGAAAGAATCCTGTGCTGCTTGTGTGCCAGGAAAAAGTAGCAGGGCGTATATCACGGCCAGTGGCGGCTGTGCGTTCATGGAATGCCGATTGCCTGGATTCTGTCTCGAGGTCTTCGACATGTGTACCATGACTTTGTTCGGATCAAGACGTTTCCAACTCGAATCTTCACTTGCCCGTGATTTGATGCTTTAGATAGCTACCAGCTCAGTCGTAAAACCTAGTCGTTTTGTGTTTGGCAGCCTGACCTCACGTAACTCGGGAAAATATGTAGCAGCAGACGAACAAAAGAGAGCGAAGCCGCAGTCAACGACAACTTCGCCAAAAGAAGCGAGAAGAAGAAAAAGGCGAGGTGTTAGAGAGAGGCAAGGTGCGCCGACAATTAGCAGCGCGCGTCCTAAGGTGCAAAGTAAAACATCAAGATATCGAGCAGGAGTTTATAGTCACCGTTGTCTCGAATGCAACGGCACCTAATGCAATATAATAACGAAGAAAAATGATAAAAGAAGAAGAGAATGTTGTAAAGATGAAAAAGAAGAAAAAAGGTTGGAATTCAGGAGTGTCGGCGAGGGTTCAATGTATGAATAGATAGAAAAACAGTGTGGCTGACAGGGTATAATTACTATTGATTCAGGTGTAGAGGGGAGGGTGACAGAACCAAGATTCCAACGAGATGTAAGACGAGCTCATATGCCTCTTTCCGCTCGATAGTCCATGCATCTATGAGGCATCTTCGGGTCGAGTCGTGCCGAATTTACGAAAATGCAGGAGCATATGAGCGCCACAGTATAAAAATAGCATCTATAGATACCAACATCGTAGACTGCACTCGAATGGATAAACATATTCTTTGGTCTACTCTTTTAGACTGTCTATTATTAACATTGCCAGTCGTAGTCTTCTCTTTCGTTTCATTCGTCATCTTCCTCAAATCAACAAGCAAGAGCACGTGTCAAAGCATGTCATGCTTTCGGCTTGTTTCTCGTCCGAATCCAACATCCATCAGGGGAAAAAAAACCGTAAAAAAATAAAATAAATGCGTGTTGCTCAATGGCAATAAACCCCCCCTCGTCCCCCTTAGTTCTCATGAGTATTCCGCTGGTTATATTAATATACCGCTGGACCATGTGTCATCTTCCTCGCTTTTTCGATTGCATCCCCAGATAGGTATCATGTGTATATATCCTTGACTTCAAAGCCGTGCTAGCTGTCTGAATCAAAGCTCTCAGCTTCAACAAAGTATGTACTGTTGAAAGCTTCTTGTCTAATTTTCTCCCTCGTTTACCTGAAGCGGGCTCGGCAGCGGCCCATAACCTCGCCTTGGCACACAAGCTCTGCGCTGAACTCGGAGCCGTCCAGAGTCAGGTAAATGTCAAAGTATACTCTGTAAAAAGTACCTTGAGGCGTATCCATTCGCTCGAAGTCCTTTTCGAGGTTCTTGCGGGACAGGTCAGATGTAAGGGTAACAACTTCCTTGATACCTATTGGATGAGAATGTTAGTCTATGAACCACAAATTGTAACACTCGTTGCCCGTCATATCATGCGCAAAGAAAACGGGAAAACTTACGGGGATCTTTTGTATACTCTGGGCAGACATCATCGTCACAGGCGTACAAGACATCTTCGTACATGAGGGTAGCTCCAGGAGCAACCTGTCTGAAAAAGGACACCTTGTAAGGCTCTCCATTCTTGACCTTTTGTCCCTTGTGCACAAAGATCTGTCTCGTGAACTTGCATCGGTCCTTGCCATCGAGAGACGGTACTCGGTAGGCCTCGGGGTGGTAGCCCTCCTTGAAGGGCTGCAGTGTGGCCATGAGGTAGTGACGTCGGGCAATACGGTGAGTAATAACACGTTCCGTAATACCAGCGGTAACGGCACCCTTGACAATGGCAGCCACCGAGTCCATGGGTCGAACCACCTTGGATTGGAACTGAGGGGGCACATGAAGCTTAATCTGCTGGAACAGGTACTCGGAAGCACCAAATCCACCGACAACCAAGATGTTCTGGAGCGTCCGGTTCTGGGCCTGGATGGCAATGATTTGGTTTCGCACCAGCTCCAAGATTCTGTTGACGACAGGCTCGAAGCACTGCAGGATTTCCTCGTTGGTAAACGTCATGTAACCCTCCTCGATGCCGGCCTCCGGGAATTCGGCTTCAATACCGACATCAACAGCCCATTTTTGGCCATTGTTTCGGAAATCAGCCTTGATTCGGTTCTCAAAATCCATGATACACTTGGCGTAGACACGGCCGGCCGTCTTTGATCCGTCGGGAAGCTTCATCTTTCGAATCTTGGTCCGCAGAATGTTGCTAAAGTTGCGGTTGAGAGCTGTAGAACCGCAAGAGTCACCAGAACCGGCAGTACACTCGGCGACAGTGAAGGGGTTCTCCTCTTCGACTTCGTACGCAATCAAATCGACAGTACCTCCACCACAATCAACAATCAGGACGGCGTCGTGCACCTTGAGGTTGAGCAGACCCGTCTTAGAGCAAAACAGGGCCGCTGCTTCGGGCTCGGAAACGAGAGTTAGGCGGTTGTCGTTTTCGTCACGCAGGAAACCAGCCTGGATGGCCGCGGCTCGGGTGGCAGCCTTGCCTGCGTCGTTCCAGATAGCCGGTACAGTGAGGTAGTATCGGATGTTTCGCTCCTCTCTGTTGAACACCTCGCCAAGAGTCTTCTGCAGCGACGACCGCATGGCCTGGCGGAGCTTGAAGAGGTAGTCGGCAGCGACATCGATCTCGGACTTTCCCGGAGGCAGAGGAGGCAGGTTGATGGGGTCAATGTACGTGTTGCCGCTAAGCATCAGCTGCAGCTTAAACCACTCAACCTTTTGAACTCCTGGCTTGGGGTAGCCAGTCGGTGCCAGAGCATCGGCGATGTCGGGGCCCCAGCCGACCACCTTTTGATATTGATCGTAGTAGAGGACAGTGGGGATCTGATTTAGATTTAGAGTTAGCTCGGGCGTTTGTGTGGCGCCATTATTGTCCCAGCACTGCTCACCTTTTGCTTGGTGTATGAACCCGCACCGGGCCATTCTGTGATGATGTCCTCCTTGGCCTCGTTGTTGGTAGCGAAAGCGAAAGCGACGCCGGAGAATGTTGTTCCCTATATATAGCATTTTATTAGTAAACAAATGTCGTTTTTCTTCTTCTTCTTCTCTCTCTCTCTCTGTCTCTCTCTCTCCATTTCTTTCTTTTCCATTTTTTTCCCCATGGGCCATGTATACCTAGCTCGTATTTCTACTGCCAAGCCATGACCCAGGACACATGGATAAGAGCAAAATAAAGTTTGACAGCCCGGAAATCTCAAAGGACTACTAACAAAATCAATGCCCACAATGAGCTGGGCCTTGCTTCGGCTGGACCCCTCAACCTCTGCCGCGGGGTTGCCCTGCTGGAACTGCTGCGCAATAGGTCCTCCCGCAGGCGGTGGCCCAGGAGGGTATCCCGTGGGCTGGCCAAAGCCGGGAGGGCCGCCCTGAGGCATTCCTTGGGGCATCTGGCCCATGGGATTCATGTTTGGCGGATATCCAGTGGGAGCTCCTGTGTTGATCGGGGGAGGTCCTCCAGTCATCTGCGACGGCGGGGTGCGGTTCTGGCCGGTCATGGGACTCGTACGGCCCATGGGCTGGCCCTGAGGCGGTTGCGGATAGCTGCCGGCAGAGTAGCTGGGCGGACGCGCGCCCTGGCCTGGGTGGTTCATCGGGAGGCTGGTAGTGGACGACGCGGCGCCTGGAGGAGGCGTCTGGCCGGGATGCGGTGCCTGGTGTTGAGGTATTTGGGCGGGAGGAGGGGTACCGGCGCTGGTGGGGGGCGCTGGCTGCTGGATGCTGTGGATGCTGGCGACGGACTTGCGTTTGCCCAGACCAAAGCTCTTGAAGCGGGAGTTCAGCGAACTCATATGGAGGAGGAAAAGAAGGACAGGGACAGGTCCCGGGAAGCGCTGATAAAGAGGTGCGGGAGTGGAGGGGAGCAAGAACGGGCGATGCGATGGGGGAAGGCCAACGGCGCGGGCAGGGTGCTGTGCTGGGGCGAGAGGATTGGGCCTAGAGCGATTGATAGTGTAAGATCAGGTCGGCGGCGCGCAGAGGTGTGGTGGTGGAAATAGCAGCAGTTTTCTTTTTCTGCTCTGGGTGCGAGTTAGTGGCCGCGCTGACAGCTTTTGGAGCTTGCGATAGGATGGACGTTGGGTCGCCGGTGCTAGACGTAGGACTCCTCCTGCTGCCCGACAGCGGTTAAAGTACTATGCTAGGGACTCTGGCAGATGGAGAAGGGGCAAAAAAAAAAATGAAGAAGAGAAAAGGGTGCTGCAATGCAACGGTTCAATCTTAGCAACAGAGTTGTCGCTCTCTCTAGCTTAGTACATGTATGTATGGAGCTGGCAAAGTCTTGTCTTGCGCAGGACACGGCCCAGGACTCGCCGCCTCTTTTGCTCGTACTCGCACGTTCTGCTTACCTGAGGCCTTGGCTGGGACAAGCAACAGCGTAACGCGCACCCGGGGCAGTCAGAATTTAGCAACACGAGGCCTGGCCTGGCTGTGCAAACCGACCCAACGCGTTGGCAGGGCTGAGCCGCACCTCGAGAACGCCTAAGCAGGGCCCGGCGATGTGCCTTGCGCGGGAACCACAGTAATACGCCAACCCTGGGAGTCGCGGGTACCGCTACGAGCGTTGCGAACGTTTAGCCAGCGTTGGAACCTCTCAGCGATGCGTACTTGTACATGGTTTGCATTGCATCGAGGCGACTGACTGGTTGATTGATAAGTGGCTGATTGCGTAGATTCTCGCAAGACAGTATCGACTTTGACGTCAATGAGCTTCTCCGCCCGTATATGCACTCCGTATTTTGTCCCCGTCGAACGTTGTGTGCGCTACGACCACGACCCTCTTATATGCCGTGGCTTGAACCAGGTTCTCAACTGTATATCTATCCCCCCCAAGTCTTTTATCTTGCACTTATCTCACCTCATTTCAATTCTCCCCTTTCTTTGCGTCGCCTCTTCGGCTCAGCTCATACCATGCTAATTCCCACATGCAGTCTCTATGGCCTATGGCTGCTCGACTGTTCCAGGAACCTGCAGGGTACAGGTCTGGCTGCATGCACATGGCGCTGTAGCCCGTGCGGCTGAGACGTCGAGAGGCCAGTGATCAGCAGTGGCAGAAGCCATAGCGGCGGGGCTAGTGACAAACTCGCCATGGTACTAGCGATGCAGGCGAGTGATGGAGCAGATCTGGAATGAAAAAGCAGTCGAATATCGATGGACCCAGCAGCTGTCCAGCGTTTTGTTCTCATTACCATCAGTGGGTAGATGGATTAGAGAGCGTGACAAATACCGTCTCACGAAACAGCTTCTCCGCGTCCCAAGACGCAAAACACGCACATTGTGTGCTTTTGCCTTTTGCCTTGACCATTGTATGCACTCCATGCCGTACTGGTGGAGGCGGTGATCGAGAGAGGCGGGGCAAAGCCACTCGGAAATCGAAACAACCGCTGAATAAAACTCTGCTGCCCTATCTTTTGTTTCCAAATGGCGTGCCACGTGCTAAAGACGTCCTATTCCATCCCATCACGTTCGAATCGTCCTTGCTCTCACATGTCGCGATATGGCATTGGAAATGGCAACCACCTCCGCTAGCCGCAATGAGATGGAGGGCTCGTAGTCAATTTTTTCTCCAGGGCCATTTGCGCTGAATGTCCTATCAATGTGGTGGCACTAGCTCAGGACTTTTGCTCTTGGCGGGTAGGACTTTGCTTTGGGCAAGGCGGGGGTCGGTTGGGCTGCAGCCCATTTCTCGTGCCTCGCGGAATGGTGGGGCCACTGCCAGATTCGCTGAACCCCGCCGTGAATAATCAATTCTAGGGAATCAACTCTCCAGCGACAAATTTCGGGGTCTTGTATTTATAGATTCTAGCTAGTGCAAGAAGCATTGCAATTGGTAATGCGATGGAGCTTCTATACATCTCCTTTTCGTCCCAGGCCGGCCTCAATTCATATGCCCCAAAATGGCATGCTGTGTATGTAAGCTGTCTCAAAGGACTGCGGGTTATTATTAGCCCTGTCGGCGCCGCCGCCGGCGCAGAGCCGCAGCGAATCAAATCTCCACTATAAATCACGTCCTAGGTTCTCCACATATGTGTAGTCTTTGGATAGTTCTAAAACTCTCTAACGCTCGCTTTGTCTCCAACAAATACCTTGCGGCCTTAGCTCAGCTGGGAGAGCGTCAGACTGAAGTTCCAACTTCAAGTCACTTGATATCTGAAGGTCGTGTGTTCGATCCACACAGGCCGCAATTTTTTGCCCGCTGTAACAAATATCGTGATATCTATTTTCTGTGGCGAAGATGTTTTTTTTTTTTTCCATTCGTTTTGCTGAGCATCACCTCCATCATCTCCTTGCTGCTTCCTGCTGTTTTGTCTGCCACTTGATCGTCAGGCACATACCAAAATTTGTTGAACTCTGTATATACTCAAGACAGCTTCAATGTTATCTTTGCTGAGCACTGGCTGAACTGTCTCCGTAATTTTCCTTTCTCTTAATGAACACAATATCCATTTCTAGACACAACACGCAAACAACATAACTAAATATATCATGATTTTCTTTCTAATTCATCACGAGTAGATCGCCTTATTTGACTGTATTAGACTGACTGAGTTGTGGATTAATTCTCTGAACTGGATAGTTGAGTTGGCTAACCTTCATATTGCGCCGCCGCCTCCTGCTATTACCGGGTAGCGCTTGAGTAGACGGATTCCATCTCCAAGTACACAGACGCTTATCAGAAGTGACAGTCACTGCTGGATGTCAAACAATTTGCATTAGCATTATAATATGCTGCCTTCATCAATTGGGGGGGCATATGTGCGTCATTGTTATCTAGTATCAGTTATTGGGTGGCAGTTACATATTTGCAGTGTAAATGGAAAGAGCGATGATACGCAACTGAATCAGCCTTCTCCCCTGTGATCGAGAGTGAAACAAAACTCTTTTACATATATCGTATCCAAAAGAAACAAATTTGTTTTGTGCATAATAGCAATTTCAAGACTGAACAATCCACCCACAATGAACTTCTACCAGGCAAACCTGGCCATTTTGGCTGTGGCAAATGCCTGCTCTTTCATCCATCGACATCGCCTCCAAAGTCGCAAGCTGTGCTATCGTGGCATCCAAGAGGACGAACAAAAAGAAGTGGCTGCTGTCCGATTTCAACGGCAATTCCTCTTTGTTTATACTTTGGTTGTTGCAGCCGATTGGCTTCAAGTGTGTAGAAAGAAATAACAAAGGTTCCCTTTTTCTGGTTGTTGTACTGACAGGAGCTTCAACACACAGGGACCATACACCTACGCTGTATACAAGTACGAAAAGCAACTTGCAGAGCACACAGTTGCTCTTTTATATGCTGCTGGCTTTGTTTCGGGTGCTGTCAGCGCCCCTGTTGCCGGACAGCTCGCAGATCATTACGGGAGACGCGCTGCATGTGTTGCCTACTGCATCTGCTACGGGATTACATGTCTGGCGATGCTAAGCTACGACCTCAGAATCTTATATGTTGGTCGATTCTTTGGCGGCATTGCTACAACTCTGCTGTTCAGTGTCTTCGAGGCTTGGTTGATTACTGAATACCATGCATCGCGCCTAGAAGATACCAAGATTTCTCTCGGCGGCATATTTGCTAACATGACAACTATCAGCAGTGTCACAGCGATATGCTGTGGCGTGTTGGGAGATGGTCTCGTTCAGCATTCCGGTTCCCAACTGGCACCGTTTCTTGTTAGCCTTGGCTGCTGCATTGGGGCCAGCGTCCTTATATTCGCAGCATGGCGAGAGAATTATGGCCGTTTTGACACTTGCAAGGAAACCCCTGAAGCACCGGCGCTCAAACATCGCCTGCTTGCAGCAATAACCAATCCCGAAGTCGCGGCTCTGATCTTTGCTTCCTCCTGTTTCGAAGGCACAATGTACCTTTTTGTATTCTTCTGGTCAGCTGCCCTGAAGAGTGCCCGAGTGAGGTCAGGAAATCAGGATGATCTCCCCTTTGGTCTCGTCTTCTCGAGCTTCATGTGCACAATGATGGCCGGATCTACCATATCGACGACTCGGAATGCTTCGTCTTCGAACGGCATGGCAATGGACACGCTCTTGTTCATATTCGCCATAGCTTCTGCAGCGTTTGTCGCTTCAACTATGCTTGACCATGAGTATTTACTATTTTGGGCCTTTTGTGTTATCGAGGGTTGTGTTGGGGCATATTTCCCAAGAATGGCACTCATCAAAAGTAACGTAATTGACGACTCTGTGCGAGGCGGAGTGTATAGCGCTCTTAGACTGCCACTGAATATCTTTGTGGTTGTGGTACACGGTCTCGATCGCGATGGTAGGAGTCCAGAATTCTTGAATTTGGCCCGTGTAGGATCCCGCTAACTCTTGAATAGGCGACGAGCACCGAGATTCTGTTTTCCTAGTATGTGCAGGGCTCTTGCTTGCGGCGTTTCTCGTTATTTCGAAGCAGGCTTGAGAGCCGTGCTATTATTCATCTTGGCCAGGATCCGCTTTGATATCTGGCCTCTTTTGCTTCCATTTTGGAAGGTGGTCCACTTGCCCACATTGCTGCGATCAAGGCCCAGCACTGGTTCGTTTCCAACCCACGTTTGCCGCCAGATAAATGTTTCTTGCTGTCTGTATACAGCTTGGCCAGCACGACGCCGGAATCTGACAGTTTTTCCAGGCTCTCGGGTCTTTCTACTCAGATAGCGGGAAGCTAATGGGCTGTTTCCCCAAGTTACGTACAAGTAATATAGGAAAAATGTGTTCAAAAGTCAGGCTAAAGTGGGCGAGCGAGGGGATATTATCGAATACCGCCTTTTAAAGACCTGGAGACGGACCATTCGCTTTTGCTGAAAACAGACCAGCTTCCCCGCGCCAATGGCTGATTGCTCGGCTCGAGGGAGGGAATTCCCCATCTTTGTCTGCATCTAACGAAGTTATATAAGAGCCCCGAGTAAGACATATTTTGATCTATGACTGCATATGCTCATCCTCTCATTGGTCATCTGTGAATCAATCACCTGTAAGCCCTTTGTCTTGTCAGGCTCAGACAATTTGACGGAATCAAGCAGGGACGCCATCTGTGCGAAGAGGAACGTACTGACTGGCTTCTCTGCAGAGATCCATGATATTCTGATCTACCATTTTTCTCTTCTTCTTACCACGCTATCTCGCTTGGTCAGGCACTCAGCAAAAAAGTCGACCGCTATTCCAATTGCTGCTGCTGCTGCTGCTGCTGTTATCTCTGTCGCCCCCGCGTACCACACCCTCAACAATCGACTCTTGCAGGTTTGGCTTCCCTATCTTGTCAGGACTTTTCCAACTCTGCATACGAGCGCTGGCACCTAACCTGACGCTAGTCTCTGCAATTGAAAGCCTGCCGCGGTAGAGCTGCAGCTCGAGGGTTCCCGGGTCAGCTTGCCCGCGCAGTTCGGCGAAACTCGTCGCTGCTCGTCATCGTGCCATCGCATTGCAGCGTCGTGATCGTCCGGCTTTCGCAGTCTGGCGGTTTGAGTGGTACGCTGTGCCTGCATCCTGCATCTTCGGGCCATTTGGGGGGAAATTAAACGATACAGGGGCCAAATCCGCAGCACCACTCAATGGACGCCACTGGGGAGCTCTGAGTCGCCAATCCGACAGCCACCCAGCCAAAAATCGCGCGGGACTTTCTCCATTCTGTTAGGACGGACATTCTTACGACCAAGTTTCTCAGGGCAGAGCAAGCTGGTACTGCTTGGACGGAGTACATTGCCAGTATACGGCCCTTTTCACCAGCGTCTCCAGCTTGGGCCACATTCGCTCCGCAGCTGCGTATGCGGGCGTCTCCATGGACGTTGTTCTCCACGGCTGACTGCGCGAGGGGTTTTTCTCATACGGAGTACCTGGGGAGTCTTTGAGGCTTGCGGCTTGAAGCTTGATAGCAGCTGTAGGCGGGGAGCATGTACTGTGAGTGACGACGCGAATTGGGGAAGCTTGGCGACTTTTGGGGGTCCAATTGCTGAATTCCGTTCTGCTAGCTGCACACAATCCTACCGCCAACTCGGCGCTGCACCGGGACAAGGTTCGAGGCCTCGGCGCCTCGTGGTGCGGTGGTGGTGAGAGCGCCAGGGTGGTGCGAGAGCATCCCGAGCAATGCGCCGGCCAGAGGTCCAATCCTGTGTGGCTGCTATCCTTGCTGTTAGTGCTGCTGGCTCTGGTGAGTGTGCCCTCATCTCCGTCGTCATCCTGCCCTTTGACTTGGAAGCTGTTCTGGAAGTTCTCCAGCGCCCACGTCACTCCGTCCGGCGCCCCATACCTACGTAACAGCTAGGCACCGCGAGCTCCTCAGTGGATGCCCGTGTCCCTTGGGGAACATTCCAGAGTGCGCAGCGTGGGACGGATATTCCGGTGGCTATCAGCTCAGAGCCTCTGGAGCAGCTCCGGCGTGTGAGGGGTGGAGAGGCCTGAGCCTTGGGTGCACTGATTCGCTTGCTGGCGGGAGTCTCAGTGGGAGGCTGCGCTAAGCATGGAGCTCTCGGCCAAAAACCGCCCCGCGCCGTCCCCAGAGTTGGGGCTAATCCCTGTGCGATCCATGTCGCTGCACTCTACACGCATCATGCGCAAAGCATAACGTATCCACGATAGTTTCTTGGCCGCTAACGTTTATTGCGACCGATTTCTAGCTCGCTCATCTCGTGCTCCATGACGCCAAGCTCAGCGCACTCATCTTCCAGCTGCCGTGGGCGTGCCGGTTCTTCTCCTTTCTTCATCTCCATCTTCCCCCGACAGCTCGCTGGCCGCTCTCTTCATTGACCTCGCAGCTCACGATCCAAGAAGACCTCATCTGCCCGCGACTGACGCATCTCGCACTCTCGCCACCAACGTCGCGAGTCCTCACCATGGGTCTCGCCGAGCACACAAGCAGGATTGTCTCCGAGTTTGACTTTTCGGACGAGGAGCTCAACCGCCATGTCCAGGAATTCCTGGAACAGACCGGTACGTTTTGCGACAGCGGCCAATGGCATTGCGCTGGAGCCGTGTCTTGCAGCTGCTTCACTCCCAACTGCTCGAATTCACTACTGACATATTTCGTAGAATCGGGATTGAACGAGGATGGAACCAGTCTCAGCCAGATTCCCACGTACGTGACTGCCGTGCCCAATGGCACTGAGAGCGTAAGTAATCTCACTCATTCCCGAGCTTAGCTGAAGAGGGGGCCGTTCAACTAAACAACTCGGCTCCGTTTTTTTTAGGGTGTCTATCTAGCCGTAGACTTGGGCGGCACAAACTTTCGTGTTTGCTCCGTTGCTCTCAACGGCGACGGCACTTTCAACTTGACCTTCAACAAGGTTGCCATTCCCAAGAATCTCATGGTCGCAAAGACTGCAAGAGATCTTTTCGGCTTCTTGGCGAAGCAGATTGAACTCTTCCTCCGCGAGCACCACAAAGAGCACTTTGAGGGCGCGACGTCTCGTCGCAACACCAGCAGCTTCCCAGAGGGTTACCACGATGAGCAGATCTTTCGCCTGGGCTTCACATTCAGCTTCCCAGTCCAGCAGCTTGGCATTAACAAGGGCAATCTGATCCGATGGACCAAGGGCTTTGACATTCCGGACGCTATCGGCAAGGATGTCTGCAAGCTTCTTCAAGACGAGATCGACCGACTTGGTCTTCCGGTCAAGGTAGCTGCCTTGGTCAACGATACTGTGGGAACACTCATGGCTCGTTCATACACTTCTGCTGGAAAGCACCGCTCTATCCTCGGTGCCATCTTTGGCACGGGAACTAACGGCGCTTACATCGAGAAGACATCAAATATCAAGAAGCCCATCAAGGGCGAATACAATACGTCAACTGGCGAAATGGTTATCAACACTGAGTGGGGCTCTTTTGACAACCAGCTCAACGTCCTCCCCTCAACGATTTGGGACGCCGCTCTGGATAGAGACAGTGTCAACCCGGGCATCCAGATGTACGAGAAGCGAGTCTCGGGCATGTTCCTGGGTGAGATTGTACGATTGGCGATTGCAGACATGATTCAGGACGAAGACACATCCCTATTCCGCGACACAAACTCCAGTTACAATGACTGGTCAACCACCACAAATATCAGCCCCAAGTCTGGACTATTGTCTCAATGGGGTCTGGATACTGCCATCTTGTCCGTAGCTGCGGCCGATAACACTCCTGAGCTATCAACTATCCGACAAGAGCTGGAGAACACCCTCCTGGTTTACACGCCCGCTTTGGAAGATGCGCAAGCATTCAAGGCTGTTGCGGGCGCTGTTGTTCGCCGAGCGGCCAGGCTATCAGCTGTCGCAATTGGTGCCATTGTTCTCCAATCCGGGAAGCTCGAGGACCCCGCCGAAGAGATCATCGACATTGGTGTGGACGGCAGTCTGGTTGAGCACTACCCATTCTTCCGAGATATGATTTATGAAGCTCTGCGTGCCATCGATGGCATTGGCCCCAGCGGCGCGGATAAGATTCGCATCGGTATCGCCAAGGACGGCAGCGGAGTTGGCGCAGCTTTGATTGCCTTGATTGCGCAGAAGATGGAGAAGCCTGGCGATTTCCTTGCCGACTTGCGACGGGACATTAAGCGGAGATTGTCTCAGCCATTTGACACACCTGGTATGTTATTTCACCCTTGAACGCCGAATCCTATCTCTTTTTGTGTATATCCTAATCAATTTCACAGTGGAGGAATCAACACTTTTGTCTTTTCCAGCATTAGTTGCGGGCGGCGTTGGCATCGGCGCACTTGCTGCATTTTTATGGAGCAGATACAGTACTTTCAGGCTCAGCAACTAAAGAGGTGGTGACATGTTTCGGCGCTATATAATCGGGAGAGGCTGTTTTTCTTTTAACTGATTCTAATTTTCACGGCTTTTTTCTTCTTCTTTTGTTGGGAGGGGGATATTATAAAAGATTACAAGGAGGCGCCATTGCACTTGTGGACAAAAAGTTTTTTATTTCCTTGGGTATCAAAGAGTTCCTGTTGTTGGGATGGAATTTGTACGATTGTCATGTATGCTATGGAGACAAAATAGTTACAATATGTGTCGATGTCTGCTAATTTCTTCGGGCAAGCGTGTTCAACTTTTCGTAAGTAGTCTGGTTGATGGAGAGGCAAATTGTGACAACACTTGGAGGAGGAAATAGTGGTCTACTTCTACAGTCGTATTAAAAACGTATATAATTCTTTTTTAAGTCTAAATTCAATCATTGAGGCGTATCATGACCTCCCATACATTATTCGTAAATTGATAAGAATCGATTTCATCCAGAAGCTCCAAGGCGCCAATGTCTTTTCTATCTGTTCTTCTTTTCTATTTGCCTCACTGCCCAAATGCAGCAGCTGGATAGGATCGATCCCTTTTTCTCCTGACGGTGGAGCTGCTCCTTGAGCTCGCGCCAGATCCGGGTTCGCTGCCAGTCTTTGGCGGCCCGAGAAGAGTCGGCGCCATGTCCGCAGGGAGGTCATTCCACTCTGTCTCGGCACGCTGATTTTGATAGGATTGGCCTGATGCGGCTCTGACAGGAGGCCTGGACCTGGCTGTCGAGGGAGGAGGAGGGGCACTATTGCTGACGGCGGGAGGAGTGGCAGCAGCAGCAGTAGCGGGCGGAATTTGGCTCGTCATGGGTGGAAGGCTCATGACAGCTGCGGTGGTGCTGGTTATATCAGGTCGAGAGAAGGGCGGTGTTGACGAGGGGAGGGCGTTGAAAACAGAGGCACCGATTCGTTTGGAGACGACCCAGGCCGAGTCGGGACGCAGCTTGAGATAGTAGCCCTTGATAGCCGGTTCGTGCTTCTCGAAGCCCCGCGCCTCGTACCAATGCAGGCCCTCCTCGTTCTCGGTCCAGACGTGCGCTGTGACGGTGCGGACTTCCAGCGCCGGATCCGTCACGACGGCGGCGATGACATTGTCCAGCGCGGCGGCGATGAGGCCCATGGAGCGGTAGGGCGACAGCAAGCAGAGCGACTGGATGTACAGGTTCTGGGCGACCTGGGGCCCGCCGTCCGGGGCGTGGACGTCGATGTCGGGCTCGACGCGGCAGACGATGCCGCCGACGGGTTTGGGATCGGCGCCATCGTGGGACCAGGTGATGACGCGGGAGAATCGGCCGGCGATGGGGTCGGCGGCGCGGTTGTAGAAGGCCTCGGGGTAGCTGACGGGGAGGAGGAGGGCGTTGAGGCGGCGGAGGGCGTTGATGTCGCCGGGGGTGATGGCGCGGATGGAGGCTTCGCGGGGTAGATTTGGATTTGGATTTGGATTTGGATTTGAATTTGGATGCGGGGTGAGATCGGATTGCGATTGCGATTGCGATTGCGGTTGTGGTGTTGTCGTTGATGCGGCGGCGGATACGGAAGAGTGTGCAATCGTCGGGGCGCCGATGGTGATGTCGTTGTTATTGCTGTTATTGCTGCTATTATGGCTCTGTGATGGAGGAGGAGCGTATTTGGGCGTCTTGGCCTGGAAGAAGGATCGGATAGACATTTGCGATGGCTTGCTGGTGGTGGGGAGTGACATGGCGGGCAGGCATAAAACGATCGCCGAGGATGGGATTGAGGTCGCGTGTGGTGGTCAGAGCGTGAAGTAGACGGATGGACAAGAGAAGAAAGGATAGAAAAGAGAGAGAGAGGATGGGAGATAAAAGAAAGAGGGAGAAAGGCAAGACAAATACAAAAATAGTGAGTGAATCAATGCAAAGGGAGCCGAGACTCCGGAGAAGAGCCGCAAGAATGCAAAACAAATACGTAGATGTTGGAGTGGAACGTTGTTAATGGATAGCCGGCAGATGCCCATCTTGACTTATATTCAATTCAGGGGACCAGACGTTCTCAGGCCGCGGAGTATCTCCGGAGTCTGGAGTGGCTCATGCTACTGCGAACGTTTTCCTGCGATCGACTCAATTGATCTCTAAACATTTACGTTAGCGGTGCTCTTATCAGCCACAGCGATAAGATTAGGCGGCGTTCAGGGGACTGCGAAGGAGTTTTGGCGTGGCTGGCCACGGCGGTTGGGCGATGCAAATCTGTATGTAATCTGCAAATCGAGGTGCAAATCTGTGATTGCGCGATGCGGGCCGGTTTGGGCCTCCGCCGGCCAAGATTCGTTCCTGTTGGCTGTGCAGTATCAGGTACCAACTAAAAAATGTAAGGGATCAATTTGATATTGCTGGGCTGGACGAACTGCACTGCGGCGCAAGCGAGAGTGAGTACCTGTAAAGTACCGGTAAGCAGTGGCTGCCTCCCGCTCAGCGGCTACAGCGGAGATTTTTAGCGATCATGCAGCTACCTTATAGAGCAAGCAGCCACTGTAAAGTCAGCAGGGCAAGCGAGCATGGGGTGCGCATCTGGCCTTGATCGCAGAACTCTGATTCTGCACTGCGCTTGATTTGGCTTTCAAACTCAGCTCACTTCAATCTTTTTTTTTTTTTTCAAATCTCACCCGCAGAAGGCCTTTGCGCCAGCAGATGCTTTTCGCCACGCTGCATAGAATCAGCAGAACAATTCGCTCGACACAGCCAGGAGACAGAGGCAAACCAGCCGCTTTTCATCTTACTTGTTCATCTGTTGCGCCAAGTCCCAAAAATACAGAGAATCCAGCAATCGCCCCCTTCAATCCCAGCACGCTCCAGGCCCAACCCCCGACTTTGCTCCAGCGCAAATCATGGTGCACGGTGCCTAGTGCAATTGAAGTGCAGTGACGAAAGGAGCCGCGGCGGCCAAGCACTATTTCGATGCTAGCAGCAGCATTCGGTTTCCAACCTTGAACCTTAATCATCATCCTCGTTTCGCCTTGTCTTTAGCCTTCCGTCAGATCAGCCGCGGGCGATACATCCGGCACCGTCGATTCCGCCCGGGATTCCTCCGTCATTCATCACACGACGCCAAGTTGCACAGAAGCCGACGCACGCACACTCCGCGCACCACACACACCTCAGCTGTGCTGGGGACCTTTTTTATTTTATTAACTATCTTACCCTGCTTCTCTTATTCATCTTCCCTCCCCCATCTAGGGCTCGCAGCCGCCCATCATGAACTCAGCCTCGGGTCGGGCGGGCATTATCCGTGCCCGCGATGATGCTGGCAGCATGGATAAACTGGTGAGTTGTCGATTCGATGCATTTCCCATTCCCACCCTCTAGGCCGGAGCACCACTTCTTGCTGGGCCCCCAGAGGCTAAGGCGCTGCTGGCCTTGCGCTGCCGCTGCCGACCCCATACAAGAGGAGCAGTGCTGCATGCATTGCATCGCCAATCAATGCCTCGAGTCGTCGTCTTTGGCGAGAATGTAGCTGCTGACAATTCCTGCCCCGTGTTGCTCTAGGCGCATTCGGTGCTCGATGATGTGCTGTACAACCTCGTGTCGGATCTGTTGATGAAGACGCATCGGGAGGAGAAGACAGCCAGGGCGGCCACTGCCGCCATCCAAGTGGAGAAGTTGGCTTCAGATGCCTCGGAGAGCTCGACGCCCGACTCAAGACCCGACGTGCGAGTCGAGACGGATGCCGCCATCTACGAGGATGGCAAGGTGCTCCTAAAGGGCAACCCGCTGAAGACGACGACGGATATTCTATGCCCCCGATGCCATCTGCCGCGATTACTGTATCCAACCGACGGTAAAGGCGCCCGAAAGCCCGACCCTACCGTCGTCTACTGCAAAAAGCACCCGTTCATCGAGAAGCCCGGATGCGACATCTACGGCCAGAGCTGGGTGGGACCAGGCCCTGGTAGGGGCAAGAAGAAGAAGGATTCGGACAAGAAGGATGACGGAGGCTCCGAGCAGCGTCCTCCGAATGTCCTCTCCTTCCCTTCTGCCACGTGCAGCAAGTGCAAGAGATGCATCCTGGTTACACGGCTGAATAATCACATGGGATCTTGTATTGGCAATAGCGGTCGCAACGCCAGTCGAGCCGCTGCTCAAAGGATGAACGGTAGCGGTTCTCAGAATGAACCTACTCCTCCACCCTCGCAGAAAGCTACGCCCACGCCGGCTTCCCGTGGCCAGAGTCCCAGGAAGCGCGACGTTAGCGACGACGACGAAGACTCGGAGACTAGCCACAAGAAGAAGAAGATAAAGCATGCTTTGACGAAGAAAGTCATAATCAAGACCAAATCTTCATTGAAGAAAGATAAGATCAAGAGCAGTTCGTTAAGCCAGGAGCAGAAGGCAGATTACAGTGTGCCCTCGCCAAAGGTCCTGAACAAGGTCAAGTCCAAGACAGACAGCCCAGTCAAGAAGTTGAAAGTGGGCAAGCCTGTCATGAGCTCCCCCATGAAGAATGGTCGAGATATCGATGCCGAGTCCGAGTCCTCAGAAACGCTTTCTTCGCCACCTGCGGGCCACCGTTAAAAAAAAAAAAAAAAGCCAGAGAAACGAATCATGCAATCTAGGAATTTACGCATACGTGCATGTGTTTTGCATCGCTATTGCTGGTGGATTGGATATGGATAGACTCGAAACGCAAGTGGCTTTAAGCTTTTATATCCATGGATAACTGTATTATTTTTCATATTCTTCCAACACACCATGAAGACAAAAGAGGTGAAGGAAAACGGGAAACGAAACCTCAGGCTTATTTGCTTTTTGCATTTAATTTAATTTGCAGATTCTGGACGTGGTTGGCTATGGGCTGACCTACTGGCTTTTATATAAAGACGACGATTAAACCAGCATCCCGAAGAACACGGGAACTTGGCGTTTGGGGGTTAAAATGAGTCTATTACTTTTTTTTCTTTGATCAGGCTGATTAGGCCTGTATATATAAAGCACGGCATTTCTTTCGCTCTAAACTAATTATGGCTTAATGATTGAGGACTGTGTTGTATATCGTCAACCAACGCTTTGCTATGCTGCCTATGTACACCGAACGTAAATTACAGCAGTCGTATATACAGGCCTTGATTTATCTAAATCTATATATCCCACCTCGAAATTGAGGGGGTTGCATGCCGAGTCATTATACCACCTCTCCGCCATTCCGCATTACCAAATATTATAAAGAAAAATACATAACTAAACCGTCATCTTTTTTTTTGTTCACTCTTGCTCCTCGCCTTCTACCACCTTGGCGCTGATCAACTTGACGTCCTCCACCGGCCTGTCCTCCGCGCCCGTAGGCACCAGACCCATCCTCTTCACCACGCTCAACCCGCTCTTGACCCTCCCAAAGATGGTATGCTTCCCATCGAGCCACGGCGTTGGCGCCAGCGTAATGAAGAACTGCGAGCCGTTTGTGTTTGGCCCCGCGTTGGCCATGCTGAGGATGCCCGCGCCGGTGTGTCTCAGAGCCGGATCGATCTCGTCTTCGAACTTGTCGCCGTAGATGGAGGAGCCGCCGCGGCCGGTGCCCGTGGGGTCGCCGCCCTGGATCATGAAGTCGGGGATGATGCGGTGGAAGATTGTGGAGGAGAAGTAGCCGCGGCGGGCGAGGGTGGCGAAGTTTGTGCAGGTTTTGGGGGCGTGGGATGTGTAGAGCTCGAGGGTGATTGTGCCCTGTTTGTTTGACGGTTAGCATTCTTTTTCTGCTGCTTTTGAAATTGAGTTTTAGGTTTTACCATTGAGGTTTCTAGGATAACGTTTGTGGTCATGGCTGGTGAGATTCGAATGCTGGCTTGATTGGGTGCTGGGCAATGGCTTGAGTTGGTGATGCTAGTAGTTGTGTAAGTTGGAAAAAAAAAAATGGACATGGAAGAGGATCAATGTTGTCACTGCGGGACGAGGCTGCGATGTTGGCGCTGGAGAGGGCCTGTTGCTGCCGGGGCGCTATCGTGGCGCTTTATTGGCTGCCTCGCCTAGCTTTGCAGCGATAGGCGGTTTTAGTGGCCGCTTTAGTGGCCTCTCTTCGGGCTTTGTAGCGGCCAGGCTTTGAAACTCAGCTGCTTTAACTTTCTTTGGCATTTGATACTATAAGGCACCAGCGCCTTCTTAAACGCAATCTTTCTCTTCTCATCAACTTTCTTTTTCTTTCATGCTCTCTCATTTTCCTGTACCTGCAGTCTTTAGATTTTCAGCAAGGTGTTGCACGGCTTACAGACTTGACATGTGTCATTTGTCGCTGCCGACGTCATAAAGTCAGCTTTGTCGAGTTCAGACCACGTTTTCGTTTTTTTACTCTCTCGTTTGACAGCATATCCACGAATCTCTAAGATTACTGCTCGTCTGTCATTTACCACGATATATGTTGGTATAGAGCGATGGCTTCAGCAAATGCCACCCTCATGGAGGGCTTGGATGGCCTTAATGTCACGCTCAATGACACAGCAGCTGGTAGGGCTCCCGCCTCAGTAATGGACATCTTACAGGATGTGGATTTCCTCCTTCTGGAGCTCAAGCTCGTCACTGGTGCTATGGGAATCATCTATCTCGGAGCCCACGCATCTCTACGCCGCCCACCATCTGCGGCCACCTCAAAGGACAAGAAGCGCCGGAAGCAGGATGATGAAGCGTTTACTCAAGGATTGGAGCTTTCTGACGCGATCCTGTTCCCGATCATGGCCGCTTTTGTTCTTGTTGGGCTTTATTATCTTATCCAGTGGCTCCAAGATCCTGCTCTCATCAACAAAATTCTACGGACTTACATGACGACTGCGTCTATGGCGAGTTTGTTAACCTTTTACGCCCATGGCATTCAAGTGGTGTCATCTTTCGTATTCCCTCGTTTTTGGCGTGGCCGAGACGGAAAACTTCGCAGGGCCGATCAAACTAAGAATACAGTCGCGGTGTGTGATGATGCGGGCAACGAAATCGAGAGTTCTGGTGTTAGTGGGACGAACCCGCTCCCCGGAGCGCTGGCTTTCCTTGCACCAGCTGCGTGGTTGCAAAAGAAGGCCTGGGAGCTCAGAGATCTCCTGACGAGACATTGGCTGCTGCAAGTGTTTGCTCATGGGATGGGCAAGGAGACAATTCACATCAAGTTTGCGCATATGATGGCACTCCTGATGTCTGTGGTGACGACCATTGTCTACTTTGCAACTTCGTGGTCGTTTCTATCCAACATGTTGGGATATGGCATGTGCTACGGATCGTTTTTGCTTCTCTCGCCAACTGATTTCCTTACCGGCTCGCTGGTTCTGTGGGGACTCTTCTTCTATGACATCTTTATGGTCTTCTACACGTAAGCTGCCTTATTCCTCTTTACTTTTTTTTTTTTAAATATGCTGCTGGACATATTTACTAATTCACTCTCTGTCCGTATAGTCCCTATATGGTAACTGTAGCAACAACTTTGGATGTCCCTATCAAGCTCACATTCGAAGCGGCATCCAGGAAGAGTATCCTCGGATTGGGAGATATCGTGATTCCTGGAATGGTTATTGGCTGGGCACTGCGGCTCGATCTCTGGATTCACTACTACAGAAAAATCAAGTACGAATCTACAGACTTGAAAATTATTGAAAAGGATGCTACTTCGGGCGAGATCATCACACGAAGTGAGACTAAGCACAAAGAAGTCAAAGCTCCATACGTGGATGCCAAGGGAAACTGGGGAGAGCGCATCTGGACCCGCCAGTCTTTGGGCCTATTTGGTTCAAAAAGCTTGCCCCCTGATGTAGCAGCATCAAAGTTTTCCAAGACATACTTTTATGCCTCTATGGTAGGATACTTTTTAGGCATGATGGTCACACTCGCCATGTTGCTCATCTTCAAGCACGGACAACCAGCGCTGCTATATCTCGTACCGGGCGTGCTTGGATCGTTACTCTTCACCAGCTTGGCGCGTGGAGAGTTCAAGGAGCTGTGGATGTACACGGAGGATGGAAGCCTTGATACAGTCGACGTGGTGGTAGACCTGGATGGTAATGGTAAGGCGGTGAAGACGATTGGCAAACTGGAGGATGGCGTGGTAGATATGACTAAAGATGATAAGAAGAAGGATGAGGAAAAGGAGAAGGAGAAGAAAGAGGAAGAGGAGAAGAAGAAGAAAGAAGAAGAGGAGAAGAAAGCTGGACAGACGGGCAGAAAAGGACATCAAGTCTTTTCTATATCACTGGAAGCGCCGTCAGAGGGAGCATAAGATGAAGCAGTGGCATGATTGTCGTATAGAAAGCGAGAAAGACTCAGATTATCTGATACAGCAATTCATGGACAGTATATAATCGTTATGTTCAAGTTCAATCTTTGATTAAAGCCGATGATAAGCTGAGAATGTCTCAGTCTATATCTCGTCTTGTACAGGAATGCTAGTGTAGCATGTATTACATGTATCTATGAATGTAACCAAGACTGCGGCTCTGCGGGCCGAAGGGCGGGCGGGGAACTGATTGCGGGAGTGAGCTGATTGGCAGTGCGCAATCTCACCCATCTCAACGCCCATCTCACTCACTCATCAGCGATGCCAGATTTCACTCATATAGAGAATACCTATACACAGCGTTGACATACATCATCGGCCTTTGATTGAATACCATTTAGTCATTGTATACATTTATCGATCTATCTATACAAGTTTTGGAAGAAACAGGCGTACCCAAGACAACAGCACGGCGAATCAGCCATCATGGCCCAACCTGCCGTCTTCCTTTGGGCTCTCGATACTCGGAACTTGTGGCCCGAAGCTAAAGAAACCAAACAGCTTCCCGGAGTAGTACGTTATTTACCCCATGTCATATCATCTTATCTTTCATACAATCGTTCATCACAGTCATACATTACTCTCGCCATCAAATCGTTGTCATACTGACATCCTGCAGGCCCACCGCGCCCTCGCCCTCCTCAGCGACACCGAGCAGGCTGCCGTCCTCAAATACTACTTTGTCAAAGACGCCAAGCTGTCCCTCGCCTCATCGCTGCTCAAGCGCCTCGCCATCTCGCGCTTCTGCCACGTGCCCTGGGCGTCCGCCACGGCCGTGCGCGACGCCCGCACCAAGCCCGTCTTCATCACGGCCGCCGGCGACGAGCCGCTGCTCTTCAACGTCACGCACCAGGCCGGCGTGGTGGTGCTCTTTGGCGCATATCGTGCCCCCAAGGGCGTCGCCATCGGCACGGACATTGTGTGCGCCGGCGAGAGGCGCGAGCGGGACCTGAAGCACCTCGAGACGCAAGGCTGGCCGTCGTATATCAGCCTGCACAGTGACGTGCTCTCGCCGGTGGAGACGCAGCGGCTACGCGGGCTGAGGATCGCGGACCGTCAGAAGCTGCTGGATTACTTTTACGCGCTGTGGTGTCTGCGCGAGGCGTATGTCAAGATGACGGGCGAGGCGCTGCTTGCACCGTGGCTGGCGGACCTGGAGATGCGGTACTATGCGCCCCCGGGGGAGGTTCCGCCCGAGGGGGCTGATAAGGAGCTGGAGGTGTGGTTCAAGGGAAGCAGAGTGACTGATGTGGATGTGAAGCTGGATAGGGCTATTGGGGACGAGTACATGATTAGCACGGTGGTGAGGAGGGGCGAGGGAGGTGAAGGGCTGGATGTGCCGCCGCCGAAGGATTTGGATCTGGAGGAGACGTTGGCGGCGGCGGAGGGTTTGTCGCAAGAGCTGGGAGAGTGATGTGGGAACATTTATCACGAGATGCGTGCATGTTGTTTGGTTATGAATGAGACGAGACGAGACGAGATGAGATGAGATGAAGAATGAAGAGCGATGGACCATGAATGGCTTTTTCATAGCGAGAAGAAAATATTTGTTAAATTTTCATGATAAAGTAGCTTTGTTTGATTGAGATGACGACGGGACTTAGTATTTCAGCTAAAGTTCGTTTTTTATTTATTTACCTATTTTATTTTGCTTGTTCAGTTTGTGGTATGCAGTTATCTTAGTATGCATCCTTCCCATAATGGAGAAAAGACCACCTTTCTTCCAAAGGAAAAATAAACGAAAATTTTACATGAAGCTTTTCCTACTCACTCACTCACTCACTCACACACTCACAATACTTTTAAAATTGCTTGCCGAAAAAGTCCAAAAGCGTTTGGTATCCCCTCTCATACTCCGCCTTGACGTGCTCATCAGTCAGGTCAGATCGCGCAGCCATCCAGCCGTGGATCTGGTCCCCAAAAGTCTCAACGTGGTGGGGAACCTTGAGCGCCTCCTCAAACTTCTTGACATCCGCCTCGTCCTCTTCCTTGGATGCCAGCAGCGCAAAGGGCACAGTGAGGCCCTCGGCGTCGGCTGGGTCGACCATGGCGGGATGGGCTGCGGCACCGGCGGCGAAGGGGTTAGTGGGAGCCTTGAGGGTGAGGGCAACGACTTTGCCGCCCCAGCAGTACTGTGAGATTTGTGTCAGCGTCTTCTTCTTCTTCTGCTTCTTCGTTTGGTCTCGAGGGGAAAGAGGGTAACACAGCGTTAGGACGTTGGGGGGAATAGATAAGAACTTACACCCAGCATGGCTAGCTTGGAGACGGATGGGCTGTGAGCCTTGACGGCATCCACGTAATCGGGGACATAGCCGGCGATCTTGGGAGGAGGGAAAGTCTCAAAGAACTCGCCCAGGGCCTTTTGCTTCTCCGGAGTATCGGGAGGGTAGCTGTTCCTCGAGCGTCAGCCGACTAATATTTGATGCTTCATCATCATCATATAGCATCGTCCCAACAACGTTGATGAATATCTATCTGCTCAGGTGACACCCCGGGAGAGGAACCAACAACTTACTACTCAATAGGGCAGGGCTTGCCCTTGAACCAGTCGGGCATGAACACCTTGTACTTCTGGTGGTCGTCGCTGAAGGCAAGGATGTCGGCTCCCTGGACGGTTTGGTCAAAGTAGCCGAAGATGTCATAGACGACGACAATGGCCTTGGTGGCGTCGGCAGGGCCAGTGACATCTAGATGTGTAGCTTCATCAGTATCAAGGTCGGCTTTTCATTTGATGATATTGCCATATACTGTCAATCAATTAATGATAACATACACGTCTTGTAGCCGCCAATCTCCTCGTACGAGCCCTTGGGCTTGTACCCCTTGGACACAACCGGGGGAATGTTGCAGCAGGCGGCGCTGTGGCCGTGGGAGGCAGGCATGGACGACATGGCGCGGATCTGGGCTGCGGCTGCGGCTGCGGCTGCGGCTGCGGTTTCGGATGTGAGTTGACGATGGTGCAGAGGCCGAGACGTGAGTTGAAGATGTCGGCAGCTGGCCTGGAGGTGATTGGAGGGGCACTGCGAGAGGTCGAGGAGGGGGCGGAGGCTGCTGTTGCTGCGGGGACCAGATGGAAGCCAGAGATGCGTGGCACGTCTCAGAGAACTGTGCGGGTCGAGGCGATTATGCAAGCAATCAATTGGGCTGCAAGCAAAGCTGCGCGTGATGCCTGGAGCTTGTTGGCGTCTCTGCGGGCAATTCGAGGAGGGCGCCGTATCAGTCCAGAAGTTTACTTATAGCAGTCTCATATCAAGGCGTTTCGGTGACGTAGGTATACTGTAAGCCGCCCGACTCCAATACCGCTTGTCTACATAATGGGCCAAGACACATGTAGCCACTAAAAGCTGGCAATGGCCTATAACACAAGTGCAATCAAGTATGTAGTAGTATTCAACACTTGGATGCTATGCAATGCACGGCTTGTTTTTGTTTACTTGCGCCAACAACGGCTCGGGCTGTGGATGGACCAAACGCACCCCCCGCAGATGATGCATCATTCATACCTAACACCGGCACTACACTATAGCAGAGCCCATTGAGAAAACAAGTGGAGGCGAGAACGGAAGCCTGAGAGCTGATGAGAAACTTGCAAGTCAGTATAGTACAAGCAGCAGCTCCGAGGTCCAACAAGGTGGGGGCGGGGCTTTGGCAGACTAGCTGGTGATGTCAGCGATGGATGAAAGAGAGGCGTTGTCGAGATGGACAGGCAAAAGATGGTTGATATAGAAGCATAGGAAGAGGAGCAAGGTGAAAAAGAAAGAGATAGACAAAGTCAGGAAAATGAGGAAGAGGAGGCTGTACTTGCAGTGGTTACATCTCCCTGCAGTCCTGCTGTAAATAAAAGACGAGTAAAAGCAAGTGCAAAAAGGGGGGCGAGAAAAGGAAAGTTCAACATCATCTTCATCTCTCTGGAAGACAAGAGTTGGCTAACGAGCAATGGGTGCTCAGGTACTCACCCACAGTGCATCAAGAGACAGAAATAATTCTTAGTCGTCCTTTAGGCGAGGCTCAGAGTGACTGATTCATCAAAGAATTTATACAATCCATCTTACAGCTCCTATTGCAGGCCCCTCACCAGAGTCAGCGCAAAGCAAATTATACGTATGAAAATAGTAGAGAGATGGATAGATAGTACAGAGCTACAAGGATGCTACCTACTAGTACTTCTTTATTTGTGCTTCAGGCAGAGCCAAAGTATCCGCTTTCCGTCCATATCACCTCCTTCGACTCTCCTCCGTGCCATCGGAAGCATGGTATCATCTCGGATCGATTTTCCCATGTTGCCGTCATGCCATGGCCCATTTCAGCGGCAATCCTTTCGGCTTGCTCCACGATTTGAGCTGATGGTTCCCACAAGATGACCTCTCTGAGGCCGTATTGGCTGGCCTCTTCTACAGCCATGGAAAGCACCATCCTGATCCCCCCCTCCATTCCATCGTGACGCTGCACTTCCATGCACCCCACGCACAGCCTTCGCTTTATAGACTCGTGGGCCCAAAACGCCGAGATGGAAGTGTTTGATTTCACATCAGTGAATTGGGCCCCCACAGGGATTCTGCTGTCAACAGGGTGAGCCTGTTGTTGTAGTCTGACTATACTGTGCCTTATTAAAGATCGACGCAAGTGCCACGCTACAAAGTCGCGCGACAAGACGATTTGGGCATGTACAGTTGGGTGCTTGATAGCACTCATCGCCATCATGGAGAGACCATCGCTTTCACCAAGCCAATTTTCAAGATGCTCCCAATACAAATGTCTCATGTGCCGCAAATACTTTGGGTACCGCTTGAAGTACTCCATCAAGCCGCTGAACTGCAAGCCTCCCAATGTGATTCGAAGCTGTTTAGCAGGAAGTGGCCTCCAGCCGCACCTTTGAAAGAGGTCCGTTTTGGGACCGCTATACAGCACGCTGAAAGCAATATGGTCCTCGCCCTCCCTGCTATCCATTTGGTGGGCAAGGAGATTCAAGAAATGCGTGGCCAAGCCGCAGCACCGGTGTCCAAAATCCGTGACGACTTGTGATATGACCATTGCTTTGACCGGCTTGGCGCCCCCCTTGGTCGTGCTCACGAGCCCTTGTCTGTGATAAACAGAAGCCCCCGTATAGACGACATTGCGGGCGCCGGGATCGAACAAGAGCCATGTTTCCTGGACCCTCTTTGGTAATTCGAATCTCGCCACTGCTTTCTCAAAAACGTAGTAATTATCAAGCCGCAAAGTCTCATTGGTGGACCATCCAACCATCCGCCAATATTCTTGCATCTGCTCTGTTGTTATTGGATATCCAAACATATAATCGAATTCAAGATCGCCGCTGGGGGCCGGATTGCCATCTCCTGTGGACGAATTGCCATCTCCTGCGTGTGGATCGCCAGTGCCGTCGTTTGCTCTTCTTTTGGTCCACCTTTCCCAGTGAAGCCTCGTCCCCTAGTACCATTCGCTCAACAGTCTATCCCATGCAATCAACCTACGTTGGCGTATAATTGCGCGATACACTTCAGTCTGTAATAGTCACCAAGTCAGCGTGGGGTCTCTACGGCAGCGAGCAGCTTCACAGACGCTTGCCTTGAAGATATCGGGGCGTATTTCTGGTTGAGAGATGTCGCCTTCAGCATTGGAGGCTTCAGCTGAGGCTGTAAGAGAGACATTGTTTCCTTCGGCGGCCTCTGTTGCGAGATTCTGTAACGAGTCGCCCATTACTTAGTACCTGGTAGGCACAAGTAAATAACGCACAGAGGGCTGTAATCAAATGCGTAATGTAAGTCTGAGCGAGGAAAAGAAAAAAGAGTAAAGGAATAAAAGACCTCAATAGCAGTGGAGAAATCCAACAGCTATTCACAGCGTCTCAAAAGCCTGCAGCAAGGAAAACAAAGACGAAATACTGATGAGAATACTGGAGAGCGCTTTGAGCTGTTTGCCCTGCTGTGTGTGCAGCTTGTCTGAGAGTTCTGTTTGATGAAGTATATACATGTAAATAAACAATTTAACGAATCACTGGACGATGCCGAGATTGACGTCAACCGGTGCCTTCTCATTTAATGATACACAGCATTTTGGAAGCTACGAGCCACCACAACAAGTTGGGCCTTTCTTTCCTGCCTTTTCTTCTTCTTCCCCTCCCTTCTGCCTTTTGTCTTCCCGCCTCTTCTCAATTCTCATAATTCTACGTACCTTATGCTCTCCATTACTACTAATACCTTACCTAGCTAGTAGTAGTACCTTATCCATTCGTTTCTCGCGCATACGACTCTTTTCCCCCTCCCAACAGCACCGATTTTTTAACTGATTGACTTTGGGCCAAAGAGTCATCTCTTGACGTTTGTTTCTTATCCCGAAGTTGCATTTCTTTTCGACGTCTTTCTGAAGCAGTACTGGTCTGGCCAATTCATGCTCAAGCCCCGCGCCTTTACTCCTATGTTCCAACAACCGCAAGAGATTCAAGCAATCCCCACAAGTCTCATTCTATTCTATCACAAATGCTTCGCCACCGCATCCTTCGCATCCCCCCCTCGTCCCCCCTTGCTGATTTAGGGAGGCTCTATGGACATGGCAATTCATCCTTTGGACTTGGTGTTGCAGCAACCATAGCACGCCCCCCGCATTGACCAATAGGGAAAGGGCCCGCGACCATTTAGAGCGGTAGGCGGATAGAAAAGGGAAAACAACACAGAGAAGGGAAAGAAAGGGATGCCAATTACCAGCACCGAAACCAACAGCTTTCTCTCCGCTCGTACGGTTCGCACCACACCCTTGGCCATTCCAAATTGGCTTTGGCAGCTGTCACTTGCAACACGTCCTCGTCGTCACTGCCGCTATCACACTTCGGGGCTAGATGGCTCAAGGTAGTCCACCCTCCAGCTTGGAGCTAGCATCTCGTATATTAATTAACCAGCCGTCACTAACAAAACAAGTAGCCCGAATCTCCAAGTAGTACTGTGTGAGGTGAGCTTCCTCTGCGTCTCAGACAATGGCCTGGGCCTCGGCCAACCGATCAGCCAACGCAAGCTCTGCTTCACGTCCGAGCTTCCACCCCCTACATCCAACATCCATGCCTGTCGCAGCACTACGTACGACCCGGCTAGCTGGTAATTTTCCATATCCCTCCCTCATCGGCACTTTGGCCTGCAGCTAGCGTGGTCCAGTGACCCAGACTATCTGTCGGTACAAGCTGCAGCCAGGAGCATGGACTCTCCCATAGCGGCGGTCAGTGGTCCCTGCATTGCATTCCCAGTCGCAGTTGGCCCCCTTGTTCGCACATTGACCCCATCTGTCAAGAGGAATCTGCACAACAGCGGCGACCACCGCGGACTCAGCACGAGAAAGAGCGTGCGTCTGCCCCGCCATCGCTTGTTTCGGAGACTTTGCTGATGCCACAGCTGCTACGAAGGGGCTACGACTAACTGTATTACTAGTAGTTGGGCATATGTCGGAACAGGCCATCGGTAACCAGTGACATGCGATCTTTCTCTATAGGCGATCGGCTGCTGCAGGTTCGCCTCATTTCAATGCCCTGTCCATCCCAGAGTGGATATCTAGCCAAGACTGTCTCGGCGATAGGGGGAAGATGCAATGCTCCGACCGCCACTGGCCCAGGGACAACGATGGCATGTTTTGAGACATTGCTAGTAGTCCATGGCGGTAGACCGCTTTTCACGACTCGAACAGCCTCGACTATATCCCCGAAGCGCAAAAGGCACGGCAGATGGCAGCAATGATCCGTACCTACCTGGTCACGCCAAAGCTAATCGAACCCGGCATGGGGACTGACTGTCAGCGGTTTAGCTGAAGCCCGGCAGGTCGGAAAACTAAGCGCTAGTGATAGCCAATCTGCATATGCAATTTATACAGCCGCGCCTGGTCCGTACCACTCCTCGTACTGACACTCCATGCCGTTGGAACATTGAAGCGTACTCAAAGGGCTCCAGGACCCAGGGACTCGGAAACGCCAGATGCGAAACAGCAGGGGCAGCAAGACAAAGCGTCATCGAAGAGCTGAAGTCAATTCAGGCCTGGCTCGCTCGTCAGCCTCAGCCTCCTCCAACGTCAAACCGCGCTCAACTCATAGCACAGGCCTGGCATCGACGAGTCGTTAGTGCCCCGTTTACACATCAATTAAAACTTGTCGATGGGTCACAAGATGTGTACGCCCCTGGGCAACCTATAGCGCCCAAGGAGACGCAAGACAAGTCAACCTGACGGGGG